GAAGGTTCCCACTATGTTGGGAGGTTCTTCAAGTGGTTTGCCTCGTGAGGAGTTCCATGTAGAAAGTCCTCGAGTAGTCGCAGATGTGGCTGTGCCTAAGCGTCCACCGACGAGGGATCGTGGCAAGGGAAAAAGGGTGGATACCGAGTATGTGGCTGTGCCTAAGCGTCCACGGGTAGACCCAGAGGAGACCTATGCTTTCCATGGTGGAGGAGGGAAACAATTGTTTACCTATGGTTTGAATCACGACGGTAAGGAGTCGTATTGGGATGTGTCGGACCATGATCTGCCTATGTTGAGTACCGAGGGATTCGTTCGGGAGTATGACTGTGCTCGGATGTCTGGCAAGGGTCCTGTTCACATGTTGGAGTTAGCCGGTGGGGACATATGTCGGGTGAGTCCTTGTTTATTTAAAACCAGATTAAATGTTACCTCCTCTCTTCCTTATGTAAAATATATATATATATATATATATATATATATATATATATATATATATATATATATATATATTATTTATTTATTTATTTTTATTTTTTTTAGTTGGTAGCGACTTGGAGATATCTCGTGGAGCATGGTAGGAATGTAGAAGCTAGGAAGGAAGAGGAGCGAGTTCGAAGTCAGACGCGTGAGGATGAACTTCTATGCCAGTTGGAGATAGCGCGGTCTGATCTTGCTCAACGGACGGAAGAGCTTGCTCAAAGGACAGAAGAGCTCGAGGTTATTCAAGGTGACGCGAAGGCGTATAAGGATGATGTTCATAAGTTGAACGAGTGCTATGATCAGCTCAAGGAGAAATACGAAGTTGAGAAGGCGACGGGGAAGAGGTTCCTCGCGACATCAGGTGGTGCGGCTTATAGGGAGTCCATCGTAGAGGAAACCAAGCTTAGCTTCCGAGGTAGTGATGAGTGTGCTGCTATGATTGAGGAGCATGCGTTGGCTGTGGTCTATAAGCCATTAGTGCGTGCTTGTCGCAAATATCTTCGCGATGCGGGTGGTATCAGTGAGAAGGTGATTCGAGGGATGGAGGCTGGTATCTCGGATGGAGAGGATGATGAGGTAGATGTCGACGGGACAGGGACAGAGCTTGTGGCTGATATGGTTGCTGATGATCCCACTGTGGGGACGTCTTCCGCCCGCAGTGGGGGAGTTTAGATTTATTTGCTAGGATAGTTAAACTCACTTTTTTTTTTTTTTTTTTTGGATTCTTAGTTTATTTTTATCGCTAATGTAGATGGGTATGTCCTCTACTATTTCGTTTGAATTTCTTCCTTGTTTGACATTTGAAGTTTGATATCTTGAATTATTTAATTTGACATTGTCAAGAGTTAATGCGCTGCTTATATGTATTTACATTTAGCATTGTACGCGGTGTACTTGAGGAGGGGATCAGTCTCCTAAGGTTTTCGTTAAGGGTCGTGCCCCTTTTTTTGGACCGCTTGGGTCTTAAATATATTTGTCCGTGGCCACGTTTTAAAAGTAGCACCTCGTGAAACAGCTAGAGGGACTTAGGTAATCCAGCTGGCCAGGCTATATGGATTATCTAAATCTCTCTAAGTGTTTGTAAGGTAATTGAATTGAGCTCATGGTGATAGGTGATTCGTGTAGATGTAATATCACCGAGAGTAAAGCAAAAATAAATTTGATTAATTCAATGGTAACAAAAGTGCATTGATACAAGCCTATGTGAGGCGAATATGAATAAATAGCTACTGCGATATGCCTACGTGAGGCGAAGGTAAATAAATACTGCTAAAATAAATAAATTGACGATAAAAATTCTTGTAAGTGACTGTATTACACTTGTTCATCTTCCACGTCTTCCTTGTACTCGTCCGTTTTACTGTGCTGATGGTAGATTGACTTCTTTTGGCGTCTCTATGCCTGTCAAGTATAATTGAGAAAAAGAGGATTCGTTTAAACACTTGTATTGAGGGTTTAGTAATTGAAGCTGTGGTGGTGTGTGTGGCATTTTCACGTACCCTACTACGGGGGTTGTTTTCTTTTTCTCGCACTACGAGATATGAAATCAACTCGTGGGTTGCTGTGAGTTGCTATGTGATCATGCCTGCTAGTGGAATTATTTTTTCACGTTAGTATGAGTACCCAAGAGCATGCGTATGGTGTATTCTAGCGGAAGTATCGTTACCCGTGGCGATGTGGTATGGGGCAGCTTCGCTCTTTGGGCCATTGGTTGAGCAATATGCGTCCTCTCGTAATTGACTCTTACTCTGTTAGAAGATCGTGAGATGTGAATATGAATTGATGATGTAAGTAAATTTACTAGCCCCCCAGTTTAAGTGGGATGTTCACGCACCTTGTAATGTAGTAGAAAGTTTCCAAACCATGTAGAGACGGTTTTGGAAGACGAGTGACGTGGAAGACCGCGGAGCCTTAGGCGTAGAACCGTTTGAGGTTCCCTATATTCCACGTTCTGGGTATAGGGTGTCCGTCAATGTTCTCGAGGCGATATGCTCCAGTGTTGACCACTTTTGTGATTTTATATGGTCCTTCCCACTTTGGGTCGAGCTTGCCAATGCGGTGTGAGGCTTCAGCTTTCCGGATGACTAAATCCCCCACTTGAAAGGAGCGAGGACGGACCTTTGATTTATATGCCTTGGCCATGCGTGATTTGTACATCTGTTGCCGGATGTATGCGATCTCTCGTAATTCATCTACAAGATCTAGGCTTCCTCGCATAGCTTCTTCATTAGCTGCTGGATCATAATTGGTGATTCTCCAAGATGGTTCACCTATTTTCACGGGTGTGATAGCCTCTGTGCCGAAAGCTAGATTGAAGGGCGACTCTCCGGTCGCTGCACGGGGGGTTGTGCGATAAGCCCATAGGGCGTTAGGCAATTCTTCCACCCACTTCCCTTTGGCACCTCCAAGCCTTGTTTTAAGGTGTTGGAGTATAGTGCGATTTGTAACCTCTGTCTGGCCGTTAGCTTGCGGATTTGCTACGGATGTGAAGAATTGTTTGATGTCCAAGCCGAGGCACCAATTCTTCACTTTGTCACCGCAAAATTGGGTTCCATTATCTGAGATCATGGAACGTGGAATTCCAAAGCGACATACGATGTTCTTCCATAGGAATTGGATGACTTCTTCTTCTCGGATGCGTGCTAAGGGTTCAGCTTCCACCCATTTGGTGAAGTAGTCTACTGCTACAATTAGGTATTTGCGTCCTCTTGTGGCGGGCGGGAATGGTCCAACTAAATCCATCCCCCATTGGGCGAAAGGGATGGGGCTGTCAATCGGTTGCATTAATGCCGCTGGTAGGTGAGTGATATTGGCATGCTCCTGGCAGCGCTTACACTTCCGGACTAATTTCTTCGCGTCTTCATGCATCGTTGGCCAATAGTAGCCTTGTCTCAGTAGTTTGAGAGCTAAGGTTCTCCCGCTTAAGTGATTACCGCAGATGCCTTCGTGTACTTCTCTAAGTACGTAATCCGCTGTGGTCGGGTCGAGGCACTTGAGATAGGGGAATGAGAAACCTCGTTTATACAGTTCTTCTCCCACTATAGTGAAGCGGGCGACTCTTATTTTTAACTTCCGTGCTTCAGTGGGATCCGTTGGAAGTTCCCCCTTCTTGAGATACTTCAGAATTAGAGTGAACCAGCATGGTTCATCCTCCTCGGTGTAGTGTACTTCAGTAGGCGAATTTATCTCCGGCTGAGGTGAGGTGAGGAGCGTCACCTTCCGACTTCCGATGCTGGCCATGGAGCTTCCTAGCCTAGTTAATTTGTCTGTATGGACGTTATTGGAGCGAGGTACTTGTCTTATCTCATAGCTCTCGAATTTAGATAAGAGAGTGTGCGCGAGAGCTAAGTATTTGACCATGATGTCTTCTTTGGCCTCGTAAACTCCGAGTACTTGGTTAACGACGAGCTGAGAGTCGCTTTGGATTAGGAGCTTGCGCGCTCCGGCTGCTAGGGCGAGGCGGATTCCCGCTATCAGTGCTTCGTATTCAACGACGTTGTTTGAGGCTGTGAATTCGAATCGTTGAGCATATTCGAACTCGTCTCCATCAGGGTTCGTTAGGACGATATCCGCTCCCCCTCCTGTGGCGGTGGAAGATCCATCAACGCTGACAGTCCACGTGGGTAGAGAGGTGTTTTCTTCTATTGAAGTCATTTCGACTAGAAATTCAGCCAATACTTGCGCTTTAATAGCGGGGCGGGGTTTGAACTCGACCCCATATTCGCTGAGCTCTATCGCCCATTTTGCTAATTGCCCGGATGTCTCAGGGCTCCTTAATATCTGCTTCAGGGGATAATTGGTGAGAACCACCACTTGATGCGACTGGAAATAGGGTCGAAGCTTCCGAGTTGCGTTAATGAGGGCGAGAGCGAGCTTCTCCATGTTGGTATAGCGTTGTTCGGCTCCTTGGAGGGCGCGACTTATGTAGTATATGGGTTGATGACCTTTTCCTCCATCTCGGATGAGGACTGCGCTGATGGCATCAGCCGAGGTAGCTAAGTAAAGCATGAGGATGTCTCCCGGTTGAGGTTTTGTAAGCAATGGTGGTGATGCGAGATATGACTTTAACTCTGTGAAGGCCTTTTGACATGCCGCATCCCACTCGAACTTTTTTCCTCCCCTTAAAATCTTGAAAAAGGGGAGAGCCTTGTCCGCTGATCTTGAAATGAATCTGTTCAGGGATGCCAAACAGCCGTTGAGCTGTTGAACTTTCTTGATCGATGTTGGTGGAGCCATGGAGGTGATTGCTTCGATTTTCGCGAGATTAGCTTCGATTCCTCGCTGCGAAATCATATATCCCAAAAATTTGCCTCCCCGAACTCCGAATGAACATTTGTGGGGGTTGAGCTTCATCTTATATTTTCGCAAGGTGGCGAAACACTGATCCAGATCCGTTAGGTGGTCTGAGACCTTAACACTTTTAACGAGCATGTCGTCTATGTACACTTCCATATTTTTACCGATTTGATCTGCGAACATTTTGTTCACTAGACGTTGGTAGGTGGCTCCTGCGTTTTTTAAACCGAAGGGCATGACTTGATAGCGGTATATGCCTTGGTCAGTGATGAAACTAGCCCTCTCTTGATCCTCTGGCGCAAGTAAGATCTGGTTGTACCCTTGGATGCATCGAGGAAGCTGAGGAGTTCGCACCCCGAGGTCGAATCGATGAGCTGATCGATTCTGGGTAGAGGAAATGGGTCCTTGGGACAAGCTTTGTTGAGGTCAGTGAAATCCACGCATAACCTCCACTTTCCCCCGGGTTTGGGAACGAGTACCACGTTCGACAACCATTCTAAATACTGAACTGGTCGTATGTGACCTGCTTCAAGGAGTTTTGCCACTTCCGCTTTGATATGCTTGTTGCGTTCGGGACCAAATGTCCGTTTCCTCTGTTTGACCGGCTTCAACCGCTTGTCGACGTTGAGCCAATGTAGGGCTACCTGAGGAGGAATGCCTGACAAATCTTTGGTTTTCCATGCGAACACATCTCCATTGTGTCATAGGAAGTTGATTAGTTGCTGCTCCGTTGTTGGATCTAAATCAGATCCTCTTCGTATGAGCTTGGAGGTATCTCCGGGAGTGAGCTCTATGAGCTTAAGTTCTTCGACAGCTGCTAGCTTGATGCTATCATCTGGCACACTGATGAGGATTTCTTTATTATCCTCAATGATCGCGTTGACCCACTTCCGTTTGTCGGATTTTTGGGTGTCGTCTCCCCTTCCGGGTGGTTTAAGCTTCTTCGAAGGTTCTCGTAGGGCCCTTGCATAGCACTCTCGAGCGAGACGTCTATCTCCAAGCACTTCTCCCATTCCATAGGGAGTAGGGAACTTCCACTTCTGATGGTAGGAGGAAGGCACTGACTTGAATGTGTGGATTGCTGGCCTCCCCAGAATGATGTTGTAGGGTGATGGCCTGTCGACGACGAGGAACTTGATTAGTTTTGTGATTCGACAAGGGTCTTCCCCTAAAGAAACAGGCAGCTCCACTTCTCCCATGGACATAATGCCTTCTCATGTGAACCCTTTCAAGGGTGTGGAGATGGGACTAAAACGGGCATTATCTATGCCTAGCTGCTTAAAAGCGTGGAGGTACATGATGTCAGCTGAGCTCCCACCGTCCACTAATATCTTCTTGACCAAGAAGTTGGCCACCGTTGTTGTTACTACCAATGCATCGACATGGTCTTCATCTGGACCTTCAAGGTCGGAAGAGTTGAAGACTATGCTATGATCAGGTCTTCGTATTTGATATATGCGTGCGGATGGAGAAGCACGTTCTTGATTCATGCGTGCTGATCGAGCGAGGGTGCGTCTTGCATTTTGTGAATCGCCCCCCGCCGGTCCTCCGGAGATAAATGAGATGATTCCCCGGGTAGGCTGGTTATCGTTGTTATCTAGGTCACGTCGATGACCCCCATCCTCTCGTCTTTGTTGTTGATCTCGATTGTTATCTCGGCGTGGAGGATCATCACGGCGCTTATTTCGCGGCTTATCAATGTATTCGCCTAAATGGCCCTGTTTGATCAGCCTCTCAATTGCCACTTTGAGTTGTGCACATTCCTCCGTAGTATGCCCTATGTCCTTATGGAATCGACAATAACGATCCGATTTTTCTCGCTTTGCGTTTGGCTGTATAGGACGTGGAGGTTATGCTAAACCTTTCTGTTCTATCACGTGAAGGATTTCCATGAGGCGAGCGTTTAGCGGAGTGAACCTATTGTAGGAGGAAGAGGGTTGGCCTTGAGGTGGAAGCGGTGGACGTCGATCATCGCGCCTCCTATTGTCCTGACGGTCATCTTCCCTTTTTCTTTTAGGATGAGCATGGGTAGAGGCTTCCTCTATCCGGACGTATTTTTCGGCTCGATTCAGCAACTCCTCTAAATTGCCTGGGGGTCTTCCGGCGATAGATTCTTTGAATCTACCAGGTTTCAAGTTCTGCTGCATAATCCCGGAGAGCATGTCTTGCCCTACACTGGGGACTTCGTGGACGGCCTCTACGAAACGCTTAATGTAGTTGCGGAGCGTTTCGTTATCTCTCTGTACTACAGAGAAAAGATGAGCTGGGGTCTTGGCATATTGTTTGTTGATGGCGAATTGGTTGGTGAACCGGGTCAACAACCGAGCGAAGGTGTCAATCGACCCTATGGGTAGGGAGTTGAACCAATTCATTGCCCTCTTGGAGAGAGTGGTGCGGAACATTTTGCACATCGCAGCATCCGTCGGGCCATATAAATCTGCCATGGCACTGAATTTCTCTATATGTTCCTGTGGGTCGGTGGTCCCTTCAAATTGTGGTAACCCCGAGATCTTTACTCATTGGGGTAATACCTCGTTGAGAATGTCTATGGTAAAGGGACTGCGTCTTGTTGGGGGAGGCATTCTTTCACCCATTTGATTATTTGGTTGGGAGAACATGTTTTGGCGAGACATTCTGCTGTTTACCTCGCCTTCTCCCTCATTAAAGAGAGGGACTCTCGGTGGTGACGCATTCCCCCGTGAGGGTGAGCGCGGACGCTGCTGTCTGGGTTGCGCCCCTCTGTGATTGGTAGATAGCTGCACTTGTAACCGTGGGTCCGAGGTAGAGGAGGAGACACTTATTTGATTCTGGATTGGCGGTGGGGCCACGTGTGGCACTATAGGTGGAGCTTGCACTGGTATCACATTGGGAGCGTTTGCTCCCATCGTGGCGATATATTGAGTCACGGGCTCCGTGACGGCGCGAGTTGAGGCTTCTTCTATCATGCGTTGGAGCGCGTCCTCGGTTATTTGAACCGTTCGAGAAGCGTGGAGCGATGGATCGGCGAGTGGTGGGTCCCGATGAGGGATCACCTGAACCTCGTGAGGTGGATCTGCCGCACGTGGAGCAGCTGGCTCCGTGGCACGTGGAGGAAGTTGCTCCGCGGCGCGTGGAGCAGGTGGCATGCCAGATCCTCCACGGACTGGGAGGTTATTTGCTGTGTCATTTTCTCTCCGAGCTGATGCCTCAGGAGGATCTTGTTGGCTACGTGATCTGGTTTGCATCGTTCCCACAGACGACGCCAAAATGATGATTCTAGAATATGGCTCACCTAGGGGGGTGTAGAAAATGAGCTGGGAGAGCAAAGCGGGTCAGTAGCTTGACAACTTGATGATCCTGAGGTCTCTGCGAAAAGAGCACACGTGAACTAAGCCGGGGGTTGATCCGGCGGAAACCCCTCCGACGCTCAAGTCAGATGCACGGATCGTAGAGAGAATAGAGAGAATAAAACTCGAGATGGATTGCCAATAATTAGAACGTACCTTAATAAATGAGTAAAACGTCTATTTATATATCGTTGAATGGGTTGTGCTTACTTTCTTGGGCCCAAGCCTTACTTTAAAGGAGCTTAGGCTTTCGTGTATTGGGCCTAATCAATAGATAAATTTGAGGGCCCATTGGGCCGGCCCATTTAGGTATGTCAGTACTTATTAATTATTAAAGAATATAATTATATATTAATATACCATACAAAACTAAGAAGAATATTGACTGTTCGTTCAATTACCGCTATAATATTTTACTGACTAAATAATTGGGGCTACTAACATGTTCGGTTGTCAAGATTCATACTTCTTCAGACCTATACTAATATTAAAGTCCGCTACTAAATGCTATTATTTATCAAATTAATAGCACCCCTCTCCCCTAGATTAAACAATATGGAAGAATTGTTTGGTACGGTGATGGTGATTGTAATGGTAATATTGGTGGTGATGTACGCACCAGAGATTTAATTTTCCTCTTCAGCTTATTTAACTAAGCTGTGTAACTAAGCTATACAAACAATGTGTCTAAGCTGTGTAACTAAGTGTCTAAGTTGTGTGACTAAGATATCTGTGTAAGTTATGTATATGTTGTGGGAAACGTCTACTTTTGTTTTAGTTTTCTCTTCACTGTATTTTAACTAATTGTTGTTGCTTATTAATATAACTAAGTTGTGCAAATCACCGCATCCCCAAATCACCGCGTCGTCGTTACTGTTAGTTTTCCTAAGCAATTCCGTCAAAGGGGGAGTGCACAGTGACATTTAGCAAAATGGCAAAATGCTCGTGTCCTTTTAGCTATTGAGAATATTTTTGAAGACCTTCAACTAATTTTCCCTAATTTAATAGGGGGGTGACTAGATAAGTAAAATACTATTTGGTCTTTCAAACTAATATTGATTTTATTAATAAAATATTATTTATAAACATTTCACATACCAGATGTAACAAATTTAATACAAGATCTAGTCCAAAGAACCCAACATCTTATTAACTAAATAATTAATTAGTTAGTAGAGAATTAATCTCATCTCATATAATTGAATCTAATCCGAGAGTGAATTGGAGATTTCCAATATTTTCTTGGTTCTCGTGATTTACTTACAAAGTTGCCCTTGGAAAAAACAAAATATATTTACCATTCATATACACCCATACACAATATATGGAATCTACTATGCTACACTTGGACATATATTTACCATTCATACACCCACACCCACACCCACACCAACACTTACATTGGTGCGTGTAAATCAATGATAAAAAAATCATTCAATGTAATTTTCACCGAGGGTAGTATAGAAATAACCTACATATCGGAGGAAAATTAAAATATCTTGATTGCCTAAATTAAAGTGATTCTCTTGATTTAGTTTTTCCCACTTATTAAAATTACATTATTAATATGAAACTATTAAGATGCCAAATCTCAAAATCTAAAAAATCTGGTGAATCTAACCGTGTGTAGTATAGAATAGACTCCACCGACTATTGGTATTTACATTTTCATTTCACACAAAACTGTATCAAAATATTTTCATGCACGGCTAGGAAGAGATCATATATGCATATTTATTCACAAATACAACAAAACATTTATTGTATTGAACATCCGCATTTGAAAAATCAATTTTAGGCAATGGGTTAGCTTCTTCCATAAAATAAAATTGGAATTAACAGGAAAATTACGTCTCCCTCGACTATGGAGTGGATAGAGACGAGAGAGAGAGAGAGAGAGAGAGAGAGAGAGAGAGAGAGAGAGAGAGAGAGAGAGAGAGAGAGTAGATCTGGGTTGGAGAGACGTAAATAGAGGTTATATTTTAGGATATAAGGGCAAGTTAATTAGGGATAAAAAAAATATTAGGGATGTGGCTCATATTATATTTTAAAATATGGGTGTATATAAAAAAATTAGTTTGAGGTTATTTAGTTCTAATTAAGTTTGGCGTGAGAGATTCTTACATATTAACCTCTTATTAAAATAATTACACAATTTAAAATGAAATGATTAAAATGTCAAATGTTAAAATCTTAAAAATTCGGTGAATCTAATCGTGTGTAGCATAGAATAGACCCAATAGTTATTGATATTTACATTTTCATTTCTCAAAAAAAAAATTATATAAAAATATCCAAGGAAATTTCATGCACGGCTAGGAAGAGGTGGAACTTATATGCATATTTGTTCACACATTCAACAAAACATTTATTGTTTTGAACATCAATATTAGGCAATGTGTTAGCTTCTTCCATGAAATAAAATTGGAAGTAACAGGAAAATTACGTGGTACTTTGTAGGAAAATTATTTGTATCATTTATTTGTTTCTCATTGTCGAAATATGTTTTAATTAAAACTAATTAACATTGCCATAATTTCAGTTTATGCAATATAATAATGCTTGAGTATGTAGTTTCTAGAACAGTTCAAATCAGCTTGGAGAAAGACGTGAGAATTGCTACTTAATTATTTTAAATAGTATATTTAGTTTTCTAGATCTTTAAGGATAATAGTGGCAGTGAAAGGTGAATGAATGATGGAAATGACGAAGGCTTCATTTTTGTTGATCCTTAACTCCATATATTCTTTTACGCTAACTAACTAATTAATTAATAAAATGTCGCTTTAAGAGGATTTTTGAAAGAATAACTTAAATAAAACAAAAAACTAAAAAAATAATAATAATATTAATGTAGTTGACACTAGGGATGGGACTGTGTTGGTTTTTATCCACCAACCGATCCATTACCGACCAGATTTTTAGGCGGATAATCAAATTTTAACCGACCCATTGGATCGGGTTGAAAATTTCAACCAACCCATCTATAATGGGTCGGTTGGTGGTTTCTAATATTATAAAAAGTTGGTTGACCGATAATTATCGGTCATCCAACTATACTATTAAAATTGGGGTAATTTGACAAAACTCCCTCATTGCAACCCTCTTTTTACGAGGAGTCCAAAAAAAAATTCAATTTTTAAGGTAAATCCAAAATATTCTTAATTAATAAAAATTAATACAGTTTCACGATTATACCCTTTCTTATATCTCACCCATACCCTAGATCTTATACTCATATCTTCTCTCTCCCTTCTCTATTTTTGTCGTTTTGATTTCTCTACCGCTGCAACAAATTCTTTTCTGCATCTCCTTCACCAACCCCGCAATCTCTTCCCCAACCCCACACTTTCTCTCCTTTTCTCCCTCCGGTCGACCACCATTGGCACACCAGGGTTCGCGCGAAATTGAAGAAGACAACAGAGGTGAAATTGGGAATAGAATTGCTGGGGCGACAATAAATTGAAGCTTAAACAAGGTGATTCGCGAGAAATTCTCGATTTTTTCTCGAGAATGCAGTTGAGTAGTTCTGATTTCTTTTATGTTATGGATATTAATGACAAAGGGTGTTTGAGGAATGTATTTTGGGCAGAAACGAGGTGTAGGGCAGCCTATGGTTATTTTGGAGATGTTGTGTTTTTCGATACTAAATCTTTGACTGAAAATTACGAGGTTCCGTTGGTTGTATTTGCTTGCATCAATCACCACATGCCGATGGTGTCGTTAGGTTTTCTTAGTAGTGGATTTCGTTGATAGTGGATTTTAATTTAATGGTTATTGGTCATGGGAATTTGTAATTAAACGGAGTGGTTTTCATGTTTACGTAGTTGTTATACAGAGTGGTTTTCATGTGTGACATAGTTGTTATACAGAGTAGTTTTCTTGTTTATATAACTGTTTATATATAGTGATTTTTATGTTTACATAGTTGTTATAGAGAGTGGTTTTGAAGTTTGCATAGTTGTTATACAGAGTGGTTTTCATTTTACATGGTTGTTATATAAAGTGGTTTTCATGTTTATATAGGTGTTTATACAGAGTGGTTTTCGTGTTGATATAGAGTGGTTTTTATTTAAAAAAAAAAACTGAAAAGAAAATAAAAAACACCACTTTTAAAAAAAAAATCGAAATTAAGAATAAAAACCATGAAAACCCGAAAATAAAACTAAAACCATTTTTTTAAATTAAAATAAAAAACATGGAAAATATAAATAAGAACAAAAATAATTAAAATAAAAAACTGAAAATAAGAAAAAATAAAAAAAAAATTACAAAATTTTCTTTTAAATCGAAATAAAGAACACCATTAAACAAAATAAAAAAAAAAAAAAGGAAAAAAAACTGAATTGGCGTGATGAGGGGAATAATTTTTGGAGAAGATTTGGATGTAGATTATGGGTATAATTTTTTCAAATTAAATAATTATACTAATTAATAATTAGTGGGGGCATATATAGTTTTTCAGGCCCATTGAATTTATCTCAAATATCATTTATAAATAAAGGATTTATCAAGAATTAAAATCCCAATGAAGGGTGTTTGGCATATAGCCCCATTAAAATTTTACTAAAAATATAAATTAAATGTTGTGTTTTCTTAAGTGATTATTGAAATTATCAAAATAATTAGTATTTTAAATTTTAAAACAATCAATAAAGGAAAATATTTTGCATAAATCTTCAATCAGTTTCTTCATGCCCAAGTTTAAACAAAAAGTCCACAAAACTCCACTAAATCTCTTGTGCATGTTTGAAATTACTTTGAATTTTCTAATTATATTTTTTCGTTAAATTGTTATTAATTATTTTGAAGTGATAAATGATGATCACACCGTGGCATTACGCAGAATGTGGATATTTTTACACCAAAAATTTGAATTTTTTTAAGTGAATTAGGTGGCGGGTATAAACCATCAACCGACCAATTCCGGAACCAAATATTCGGTTGTCAACCATCAACGGATCCACCAAATTTGGGTTGGCAATGGTTTTCAAATTTGAGCAAAAATGGTTTGACGGATGGGTCGGTTTTTAGACTGGTAATTGACCGACCCAACCCAGTCCCAGCCCTAGTTGACATTAATATTATTGTGTTTTAATATAATTACGTTGACTTGTCAACAAATCAAACAAAATTAATAAAAAATAACAAAAAAGAAAAAATAATAATTATAATACGTTAATTTACTATCAACGGCAGAACAATTACATAAATGTATTGTCAACGGCAGTACAATTACGTTAATGTTCTGTCATTGACAGTATAATTACGTTAATTTACTGTCAGTGACAGCACAATTACGGTCAACGTTTAGCGGCCGACGTAAAAAAAAAAAAAAAAAAACACTAGAAAAAATCAACGCCGGAATCCGGAGGCAAAAAGTTTTTTTTTTGAAAAAAAAAAAGTCTAAATTAGATTTTTGTTGTCAAAATTGATTAAATTGGGGTTACAATTAAGAATTGAGTATAAATGGCTGGAGCTAATTTTGTCTTATACATGAATGTTTCCTTTATTTATAATAAATATTAAAGGGATGAGCTTATTGGTGAAAGATATATAGCCCCTAAACCTAGAATAATAAAAATGTTTGGTTAAGAACATGTGCACAAAAATCCTATTATAAATAAAAAAAAATTAATGATATGACAAAGTTGCCCCCAACCCTTTAAATCCAATTTTAATTGTAAACAAAATTTAATCAATTATGAATAAAAGAAATTGCATGCACCCCTAGGAAGAGCTGGAACATATATGCATATTTGTTCACACATTCTGCAAAACATTTATTGTTTTGAAAATTCAATATGAGGCAAATGATTTGCTTTTTGCATGAAAAAAATTTGAAACAGGAAAATTAATTAAAACTAATAAAAATTGTGGAGATATGTTTTATTTAAAGTAGTGGTATTATTTATTTGTTTATCTCATTGTAATAAAAATGGGATGGTTTTGTAATAAAGATTTCAATAAATACTGTGTGATACGTGCAAAAAAAGGGAATATAAATAACGAGAGAACCCACTGTTCCAGCAGTGGAATAATGTGAGCCGTAATGGAATTTGGGGATGACTGGATCATCAAAGCTGGAGTATCTCTCTTGGAATTTTTGTAGTCTTTCAGCATTCAGGGCACCAATTGGCTGCAATACAAAACGTTAGATGAAACATTGAAACATATAACAATTTCCAAACTAATTCAAATATGATCCCACCTTTGAGAGGTCTCGAAAAGAAGAAGGACTTGAAAGATCCAAATTTTGTGAGCTGTAATCAGAAAGGATCCACGGGAATACAGGATACTGCACAAACAGAATTTTTTTTTTTTTGTTTTTAAAGAAAAGAAGAAAAAAAGAAAAAAAACAGTAAGGACATCAAAGTTATTCTGTCATGATATATAATGGAGTATTCTCAGTAAACTCTTTACCTGTGTAATATCATTATAGCTGCGTCCAGCCAATGTGTTAAGCTGCATTAAATATTCGAAATTGCTAATCTGCAAACAATTAACTATTTAGCTTATTATCCACAAAATAGACAATTTAAGTTAAACAAAGTAGACCAAATAAATTGTGCTTAGGTGATTCTGCAAGCATACACCTCCCACGGCCCACCTAGCCCAACGTTCCATAAGCTGAGTTCTTTTTAGAAGCTGTTCAGGTCTCTTCAGAATAGGATAACATAATATAAGATTTAAAATACAACATGATAAGGCTAAAGTCAAATCTCAAAACATCAAATCCAAGAGTCTAAGAGTCTGTCTTAAATGCATGTAAATTCATGTTCATTGAAGAACAAAAGACTTTCTTTGTTAGTATAAGAGGTAGAAAGATTTCAATAAGTAGTGGTACTTTGTAGGAAAACTAGTGGTATTATTTATTTGTTTATCTCATTGTGGAGATATGTTTTATTTAAAACTAATAAAAATTGCCATAATTTCTTTTTTTGACAATAAAAGGGAATTTTATTAAGCGATATTCGCTAAATGCAACGGGAGATCAATACTCTCCATAGAAACAGTACATGAAATTTGAGCAATACAGTGAGCTAACAAGTTTCCCTGTCTCTTAACAAAATTAAACGAACAAGAATCAAAACTTTCACCAATGTTGAGGCATTCCTCCACAAACGCTCCGAACGATGAGAATTCCCACTCCCTGCTGTTGAGTGCATTTATCACTTGGAGGCAATCGCCTTCAAGTATAATATTTGTTAAGCCCATCGATTTGGCCATAGAGATCGTCTTCAAAGCCGCCAATGCTTCTCCTTCCACAGGTTGAAGATTTCCCTGTATGCGTGTTACTTTCCAACCGAGACAAGAACCATAACTATCCCGAGCAACCATTCCCACCGAAAAGAAACTTTCCCCATTTGGAAATGCAGCATCAAAATTTAATTTAACCACATTACTAGGGGGTGGTTTCCAAACACTAGGGTGTATATCCCGCATCCTCGAATTTGGGCAAATTTGTGCAGATTTATAAGCTGCTAAAAAGTGGCGGCACCAACTGACCAAATCACATGACTTAATAACCTCTTCATCTTTCATAGCTCGATTCCTGTTGTCCCAAGCCTTCCATGCAACCACCATTGCAATATTGAAATTTTCCTCATCAAGTGATTGCTTTAATTTTCTAGTCCAGTTCCATATTGATGAATAGTTGTGGCTTTCCAATGTATCAAATGGGTGACTCCGCCACACCTTCTCCATACCCCTGCATTTTAGAATGACATGTAGGGGAGTTTCTTTTTCAATGTGACACGTGCTGCAAAGGGGCGATGAACTGATTTTTCGTCGAAATAATTCTGCATTGGTTGGAATGATATTAGATTTCAGTCGCCAAAGGAACATGCGAATTTTTGGTGGGATTGGGAGTTGCCAAATATATTTCCAGTTTTGTTGCTGTACTCCACTATACGAACCAGACTCATTTCTTCGACGACTTACCATAGTCATAGCGCAAGAAAGAATGTGGTGATAGCAAGATCTAACCGTGAAGTTACCGTGCTTAGAGAAATGCCATATCCACCTATCTTTTGCCATAACACTTCCCACCGGGACAGCCAATATACGTTCAACATCCACCGGCCAAAAGACTTCGTGTAAAATTTTTAAATCCCATTCGCCTGATTCTGGTTCGATAATATCCGAGACTCTATTAGGGAACCCCGAGTGAATTGGACGTCTTGTGAACACCACGAGTTTACCACCATCTCGTAACCAAGGATCCGACCAAATAGAAGTATCCGCCCCATTGCCAATTCTTCTACGGATGCCCATCTTCAAATACGGGATTACGGTCCAAATACTCCTCCATGTTGCAGATGGACGCGACCCCAGATCCGCCGATAATAAATAGCCATGTGGAAAGTATTTAGCGGAGATAATTTTTGAAAGAAGTAGATCCGGGTTAGTTAAAACTCGCCACGCTTGTTTTACAAGAAGTGCAATATTGAAAGTCCGCATATCTCTAAAACCAAGCCCACCTTGATCCTTAGATCGACACAACTCCTTCCACGATGTCCATGCCAATCCTCTGTTCGCTCCCGACCCCCACCAAAACCGTCGGATGACCGATTCAATTTCTAGAAGAAGACCGTTTGGTAGCAAGAAACAACTCATAATATATGAAGGTATTGCCTGTAATACCGCCTTGATTAAAACTTCTTTCCCAGCCTTTGATAATTGTTTTTCCCCCCAACCGTTAATCTTGGACCAAACACGATCACGCAAGAAGGAGAAGATCTCTTTTTTGGTTTTGCCCATAGTAGCAGGCATGCCCAAGTATTTGTCATGCTGTTCCACCACTTGAAATCCGAGAAGCTGGTGAATTGAATTCTTTATCTCCTGAGAAGTCGATGGACTAAACATCATTGTAGATTTCTCAAAATTAATTTCTTGTCCAGATACTCTCGCATATGTAGCCAAGATTTCCTTTAAGTTTGCTGCATATGACTCAGTAGCTTCACCGAAAATGAGGGTATCATCGGCAAAGCACAAATTGGATACCACGGGAGCTGTCGGGGCCACATGAACACCTTTAAAATCGCCTCTTTCCACTGCTTTCGAAACCATAGCTATCAAAGCTTCAGCACAACAAATAAATAAATAGGGAGATAAAGGATCTCCCTGTCGAAGCCCTCTGGAGGGAAGAACGGATCCAAACTGTGCACCATTAAACAAGAAAGAAAATGAGACAGTAGAAACACAAAGCATTATGAGATCAACAAAAACAGTAGAAATGCCAAAGCGAAGGAGAATTTTTTTAAGAAAAGACCATTCAATCCGATCGTATGCTTTGCTAATGTCCAGTTTTAAAGCCATGTAATTTGTCTTTCTCTTAGAGCTGAGTTTAATAAAATGATTGATCTCGAAAGCTACAAGAACATTATCTGTGATAAGTCTTTTTGGGACAAAAGCAGATTGTGTGGGAGAGATCAAATCATTGAGAACTAATTTAAGCCGATTAGCCAATACCTTAGAACCAAATTTATAAATGACATTGCATAGGCTAATCGGTCTATACTCAGAGATTTTTTCAGGTGTTTTCACCTTAGGAATCAAGACAATATAAGTAAAATTCAAGGCAGAAGGAAGCTTTCGATTATTCAAAAAATCTAATACACAAGATAAAACATTAGACCCTAAAATATGCCAGTATTTAGTATAGAAAATAACGGGTAACCCATCGGGACCAGGGGATTTCAGAGGAGCCATTTGGGCAATGGCTCGGGTTACCTCATCCGAAGTGAAAGGCATAGACAGAAGTTGACTCGCGCTTCCGGTAACTCTCGTCTCAATGTTCTCCAGCACCTCATCTATCTCATCTTCTCTAGGATTAGTGGATTTGAAAATCTGCTCAAAATGTTCTGTGATAATGTGTTCGATATCCGCTTCTTTGTCCTTCCAACAACCCTCATTATCTTTCAGCTTGGACATTCTGTTAGTTCGGTTCCTAATAGTAGCTTTGGAGTGAAAAAACCGAGTATTCCGATCCCCTTCCCGTATCCATTGAATCTTACTTCTCTGACGCCAATACATGTCATTATCCTCATAGGCTTTCTCCAGTGCAGCCCGGAGTTTAGAAATTTCCTCCTTTCTAGCTTCGGTTTGATCGGCTTCTTGCAGCTCACGAATTTTTTTGTGGAGAGATTTGATGTGAACCTGAGGCTGCCTTAGTGTATTTTTGCTCCAATTGATCAAAGCAATACGACACTCATTATTTTTCCAGAGAAGATCCTCGATCGGATCAATACACTGATTATTAGCCCAATATTGGTTAATGATATCCTCACAATCATCTCTTCTAAACCAGGTAGCTTCGAATCTGAATGGTCTCTTCTTCCGCAAAGTTTGGACATTTTTTGAGTCACGAAGTATAGCTTTTATTGGCAAATGGTCTGATCCAGAGTAATTCAAATGATAGACACTTGCGCGGGGGAAAAGTGAAATCCAACCATTATTTGCACAACATCTGTCTAATCTACACCTAACTGTATCCGGGGCATGTCTATTGTTCGACCACGTGAAAGGCGAGCCTTCAAAACCTAAATCAGACAAGCTGCAATCTTCCAAAGTATTACGAAAAGCCCGAATAGAAGCTGGCAGCCTTGCATTGCCCCCGGTTTTCTCACTATTGCTCAGTATTTCGTTGAAATCCCCACCCAATAACCACGGCATAGTGCGATGGTCTCTTAAATTACGAATGAGTTCCCATGATAAGTATTTTCGATCATATTCCGGATAGCCGTAAAATCCAGTTACTCGCCATTTGCTGTTGTGGTTCCTCTCATAAACCTCTGCATCAATATGGTTGTTCGAGTAACTAATTAACCTTACATCAATATCTTTTTGCCACATTAATGCTAGACCGCCAGAATTGCCAATCTTGTCCACACTCACCCCATTGAGATTCCATTTGTTCTTTACTTTATCAATTAATTGGTGTGTTGCCCTCGTTTCCGAGAGAAACACCAGCAGGGGCCGATGATCTCGGAGAATATCCCCGAGCGTATGAATTGTCAAGGGAGCCCCGAGCCCTTGACAATTCCAGAATATGCAACTCATTGATTTCGGCGGGACTGCGATGCAGTCTCCGCCGTTGAGCTATAACCCTCGTCATGTAACTCCAGCTGCTGTCGTTTTCCTACTCTCTCTACTTCCCTTATACCCGCTTCATCAGCCTTTTTTTTCCTGTTCTTGCTTGATATTTTGACTTGTCGTCGATTAGGTTGGCCATTGTTGTCACTTGCATGGAGCTGGATCGAATGAGTAAACAAAGTACTATCGTCCCAGTTAAAACCAATTTCGTTCTCCTTATTCTGCCCCAGGTCCAACCTGTGGTTAGTACTTTCTTTCCGAGTGCCAAACTGAAAAATATTTGTTCCCCTTTGTGTAGGTTGTGCTAGAAAATCTGTCCCACCAATACTTTTCTCATTCACACTTTTCAGCGGCACTCTCGAGTGATCACTCTCTGGCAGGCTCGTCGCTTTCATCCACATTCCATAAGGGAGTTGTTCACCGGGATCAATGAAATTGTCTTCGTATCGTATAGGGCACCGATTCTCAGCATGTCCAATTAGCCCACAAAGAAAACAAAAATTGGGCAGCCTTTCGTATGTGAAGGCTATCCAATTTTTTGTCCCGTCAAGGTTATGCAAGTTCATCCCTCGCTTCAGACATTTGTTGACATCTATCCTGACCTTGACCCTCACGTATTGATGAAACTCTAGTTGCTTAGAGTTCAGGATCTCTACCACATCGCCAACTTTGCTTCCAATCTGATTTACCATAGGTACTGTTCTTTTGGATATCGGAAGATTGTGAATCCGTATAATTATGTTCATCAGATAGATGTCCATCGTTGTAGGGTCGGAATCTGGCTCGAGATCTTGGAGTAAACAAGCGTTTTTGTCCATCAACCATGGACACCCATTTTTCGCGTGATTATAATCCAGACGATGTTCAAAGCACAATATAAATCTGTTCGGCCCAAGGGATTTGACGTCACATGCCTTTACTGGTTGGAGAATTCGAAGCACGTTAGCCTTGATGGTATGTGCCGAAATCTCCCTGGAAGTTACGATTCGACCAATGAGTTGGTAGCCCCGATTTAACACCCTATCCGGCAGTGTCTGGTTGTCGACTACGATACCTTCCTCTTCATCTGTCGTTAGAGAGAGGTTTTTGGCCATGGATTCTGATAAACCCTCCATATGCGTTGAGATGAGATAGATGAGACACAATGAACAGAGAGATGCGAATCAGTGCGGCGGCGAGAGAAATTCAGATCTGAGAGGGTAAGAGCGGGAGAAAAGTAGGTTAAGGATTGAAAATACAAAAAAGAAAGTATAACGAAAGACACCCAATAAAGAAAGAAATACAAAGGAACCCTATAGAAAACCAAATATGACTAAAATCCTGCACAAATTAAAGCATACGATCCGATCTACTGGTAACTAAAAAAGAAAATTCCACGGTGTGTGTATAGATTGACTGCTTGAGCGTGAGGAAGAAGAAGAATCAAGATATGCCTCTCATGATGAGAGAAGGGATTGCCTCTCACGAAGGAGAGAAGGGAAAATTTCCTTCACCAATATTTTAAAAAAATTGCCATAATTTCAGTTTATGCAATATAATAACGCTAGAGTATATAGTTCCTAGAACAGTTCAATCAGCTTAGAGAAAGACATGAGAAATTGCTATTTAATTATTTTAAATAGTATACTTACTTTTCTAAATCTTTACAGATAATAGTGACCGTGAAAGGTGAATGAATGATGAAAATGACGAAGCCTTCATTTTTGTTGACCCTTGAACTTCATATATTCTTTTACGCTAACTAACTAATTAATTAATAAAATGTCGCTTTAAGAGCAACTCCAATGCTAGATATCAAAATTGAGTTATCAAATACTCATTTGATATTTGAGAATTATTTTAATAACGATTTAAAATTCATCTACTCCGACCATGGTTATCAAAGTAATTATCAATTAGAAGTTTATTGGTAGTTTTATTTGTAATTGTCACGTGTCAACTTCTGATTGGATGGTTAGGAGGTTACATTTTTTATAACTCAATTTCCAGCAAGTATTTTTACAACCCAAAAGGTAAATTATCAAAATGGAAACCTCATTTGATAACTCCATTGGAGTTAAAGATTTCCATTTTTATGTATGTAAATGGGGGTTAAATGTTGGAATACTCTATTTGATAACCCATTGGAGTTGCTCTAACAGGATCTTTGAAAGTATATATATATATATATATATATATATATATATATATATATATATATTACATATTAGTATATATTAAATCAATAGATAAAATCTTTAGTTTTTTGCACCTGACCCCATTTTTTTCATTCAACTTTTATTTTGCCAGAATATTACATTATTAATGGTCAAAATACGAGTTTATCAAATTTTCTGCATATCTCAAACTAGTGTCTATCGTAAGCGCTTGTTTTTCTGGATTTGTGAAGCTCTCTTAGATCAAATTGTTCCGTCATTTTTGTGTGTCTTCAATCCACGAAAACCAATCAAAAACTATTCAGTCTAAACTATTTTTAAGTTTCGCAAATTGATGGACAATTTTTGAGTTTAGAGGATTTTCCCCTATTTAATTAATTCTAAAATTTAAAAATCGTTATTTAAATTTAGAAAAACAACACTAAATGTAATAAATGTAAGTATAAGAGCGAAATTTAGAAATTTTATTAGAATGGGTAAAATGAGATGAGACTACAAATTAAAATTAAAAAATGACCTGCGTTTTCTAAGACGCGTCATGTGTTTCTCATTTCAGTTTTTGTAATCGTCCAAAAAAAATAATATTCTTAATTTTAATACAATTCCCTATTAAAATTGATCTTTATTTTGAGCAAAAAATAAATAAATGAAAAATATATTGTTCGCAATTTGTCAACGATTTATGATGAAATTTTTGATAAATGAAAATACATAATAACCAAAAATATAATAATAATAATAATAATAATAATAATAATAATAATAATAATAATAATAATAATAATAATAATAATAATAATAATAATAATAATAATAATAATAATAATAATAATAATAATAATAATAATAATAATAATAATAATAATAATAATAATAATAATAATAATAATAATAATAATAATAATAATAATAATAATAATAATAATAATAATGGGCCCGTGGGCTCGCGTTTTGATTGACGCGAATTCGTTTCATCTTCTTTCTCCATGCATGCATGAATTAGTCTAGTCATCGGCCACACAATCACACTCAGCCTCTCACACACAGTCACGCACAAACCCAAACATATATTTGTATGTATTCCAGTCCTATATATATATATATATATATATATATACACACGCACCAGAATATATACACTACAAAAAAAAGCATTTTATGTGACGAGAAAATTCGTCACTCAAACTTAAACTTTCGTCACATAAACATTTATGTGACAAATTATTTCGTCGCAGCGTTCGTCGCGTAGGGCCTGTCGCGAAAGGTGTTTTGTGACGAAATACTGTTTTTGTCACCAGAGATTGTGACGGAATATAATTTCGTCACAGAATTGTGTGTTTTTGCGACAAAATGTTTGTCACATAGAAAACTTAAATTTGTCATAACAAGCTTATTTCGTCACAGTAGGTGCTGCTTATTGTGACAAATTATTTCGTCACATGAACTACAAGATCTATTGAGACAAAATTTTCGTCCCATAAAATACATTTTTATAATGTAATATTTACCTGACAACATAATTTATTATATAATATATACATGCCTTAATTTTTACTTTTCTAATATACAAAAATAATATAATTAAACTTCATTGAACTAAAGAATGATTCTGAAATAAAAAAAAAAATACTTATATTGCAATATGTAGTAGTACTATCACACAGTCACACTTACAAAAAACCTCACATTCTAGTTTACACTCAAAAGCTATTTTCGATACTATCGCTTACAAAAAGTCTTGAACTGCATAATAACTACGACAAGAAAATATCCGACATGATCAACCTTCACACAAAAACACAGTACCAACCAACATCAGTCTTCAAAAGTCAAAAGCATGGACCATGACCATCATTCTGCAAGAATCACGAAACTCAAATTACGATACACAATAACCGAATTTAGACATAAAAGTTATATTATTAAATTCATCAAGTCATAAATCGTAACAAGTTCTTACCATAAAGAACTTTGCGTAGTGTTATTTCCTTGCATTTTTAGAAAGAATTGTTGCATTTCTTGCATTTGTACTTGCAAAGTCTCTATTTTTTCTTCATAGCTCTTGTTTTTCTCCTTTTGCTCTGCTAATTCTGTAGTGAGGGTACCAATTATGCTCCTTGCGCTTTGAAGCTCACTTTCACTTTCTCGTGTATTTGACGAATATTTACGTCTGCTACGAACTTCTACCCCATATCCCATACCTTTTTGGTATCCAGATCTATAACCAAGTGTTGTTACTAGGATTTGATCCTCTGACATGACATTTTCTGCGTCTTCCGACGAAGCTTCTTCTAATTCCATCATTTTTTTCTGCAAAATTCAAGTATATATCATATATAAATGAATAATATGTCGTCAAATAACAAAATTATCAAATATCTTACAAAAGCAGATGCCGCATCAGAATTAACAAATTGACCAGCTTTGTCCACATGAGTTTTTCTCCATAGCTCAATCTTGTTTGGATTTTCCTGTTTAGAATGCAAAAGTGAATAGTATAGTATTTTGTCATCGCATAAATGAATAGTATAATCTGACAAAAAAAAATTACATACCATCTTTCTATAGCGAGAAAGGTATCTGATCTTCCCGGAAGTGTGGCTGAAAAGCATTTTATCTTTATTATTTACGTTGGTAGTTGATCTCTCCTGGATTGACATGTAAAAAATATTTTATTTATTAACTTTATCGTAAAAGAAATAAAATCTAACTATGTGTCGTTTTTCTTTGGACTCTAGATTTTGTGAAACTTTAAAGAACTTGCGTTACCTTAAATTCATCAGTCTCGAGCCAGTCACACACTGCAAGCCACTTTGCTATAGGAACTTCCTCCCGTGGACTCATTTCCCTAGGATTTTTTCCCTCATCTATAAGTTTGTTAAAGCATTCACTCAATCTATTCCTCCAATGTCTATAGGCATTTTGGAACATTCCATCTACAATACTTCGGACACGCTCAGATGTCAAATCCTCAATTTCGAACCATTGCTTGAAAACCAAATAATCGAATTCATTAGTTCCATAAAGTTTAATTTCATCATGAATTTTCAGTAAACCGTATAAGAAAAAGTAAGATGCCTTACCAATAATCTTCTAAGACAGACTTCTTTATTTGTTTCTGGAATTTGCCTCCACATAGAAACTCCTTCAAGCTCTGCACATGTTCTAACAGCGATTCCTATACCCTCAGAAAATTTTTCCTCATTTTGAGCGGGTATTTTTTCACGAGGATTGAACATGATCTTCATCTTTCCAGTCTACAAGAAATATTGTGTATTTGAGCAAAATAAATTATGCAATTTAACAAAAAAATAACAAATTACCTGCTTCACTATTTTGTCCAAATTTAGCCCTCTACCAACACCACGGCCATTTTTCTTGAAAACAGTTCCTAGGCAAGAAATAAATGTAAAATTAAATAAGCAAAATTAAAATGGAGATAAAATATTAAATATACCACTAAAAGTTAATTCAAAAGGGAGATAAAATATTAAATACACCACTAACTAATTGTAGAAAAACCTATTGAAAAAATCAAATAATGTAAGAGGGCCTTTACCAGGAATCGAGGTTGATGCTTCATCATAATAAGGTTCAGATCCCTCGAAATTTGGTGTTGGTGCGTCAAAATCATGTGGATTGCCACGTCTTCCTGATGTTACAGATATTGAATTCGAACCTGAAGGACGTGAAAATTTTGTAACTGATGTTGGTGGAAATGAACTTGAAGATGTATTGTCTTTTGATGCACTTCTAGTAGTGGATGGCACTGAATTCGCTGAAGTACCCCCATGTAGTTTACGAACTTTCTTGAATCTTGCACCTGATGACATCTGAAAATCATAACAAAAAACATCAGATGCATCACCATTGCCTAAAAAAAAATTATATCTTACAAGATAATTCTACAATTATATTATACGTGCAAGAAAAAATAATTTACTATCAGCATTTTAATAACAAAGAAAAAAAATTATTATCATTTTAACACCACATAATTTATATACAAAGAAAAAAGCATGCTTTTTATATAAATAAAACGAGGAAAAAAAACACATGGAAAACTGTATAAAAAACGTACTAATCTATAATAAAAAAAAAAAAAGAAAAAAAAAAAACCAAGTGTATAGTCTGGATCATTCCTTTCAAACGTGTGAATTCACACTAAGTTAATCTCCTCCCTCTTCCTCCTCATCTTCATCTTGTCCTTCTTCATCTCCCTCTTCCTCTTCCTGCTCGTCTTCATCTTCTCTTTCCTCCTCCTCCTCCTCCTCCTCCTCTCGTCTCCTCTCTATTTTTTTCTTTTCTCTAAATTTTCGAAAAACAACTTCATCAATCTCTTCGGGTTCTACATCTTCCCTTGATAGTTGATTTTGAAGATGGTAATCATCATTAGTTTCAATTATCAAGTTGACTCCATTAGATTCATACTGCTGCAATACTTCTGTGATATTATCTTGACAGTCATCGTCTACGATATTCACAGTATTTTCTGTTTCCACAGCAGGCAAATCCCACAAATGTCTATGTTGCACTTTCTGCACAATCTGCCAATTTATGCCCAATCTTGTGTCATCGATATAAAATACTTGTTGTACCTGGATTGGTAAGACGAATGGATCATTTTCATACCATCTAGACCTTATATCAATGCTAATGAATTGTTTATCCACTTGCATAGTTTTCTTACTTCCCATGTCAAACCATTCACATTGAAACAAAATCACTTTGTAACCACCAATGTAGGTCAATTCAACAACCCTGCTTAAGAAACCAAAGAATTCAATAGACTGCTTTTTATGCATTCCTTCAACGACTAATCCACTATTTTGAGTTTTCCTCACTGTATCACGTTCTCTTGTGTGAAAACGGACCCCATTCACCATGCAACCGTTAAAGAAGTTTGTATTCAATCTTAGAGGACCATTTGCTAAATTCCACAATTCATCTGTAGCCTTTCCAGAATTGTGATATTCACAATTTATACGTTCTTTAAACCACTGTGCGAATAACTTTTGTTGCCTTGCATCATCTTCTTCACCATCAGCTATTTCATCTAACATGATCCCATGCAATTCAGCTTTGTGAATTCTGGAAAAATTAGAATATTTTTTTTAAACAATATAAGAAATAAGAAATATATTTAAATAGAAAGAAATTAGTTATAAAGACAACATAAATAGATTCATTACTTCAAGTACGGTTCCACTTCTTCACAATTGCTTAAGATAATCCAACTTTTATCCAACATCACATACCTATAAAGAGAATATTGAATTAGACTGTTTGGCTATAAAAATGCATGTACTATCTACGAAGATTGTATAAGAATGGTTGAAATTGTATTACCTTGAGTGAGGCCTCTACGGCAAAATTAAGTCGGATATCAAGTTGGCATTGTATCTCCTCCAACCTTTTAATCTGCAAACGAAAGTTGTCATTAGTAAAAAATATAATTTGGAAGCAGTGAGTACTCTACATTACACGAAAAAAATATGCCAAATACATTTACTCAGCTCCACCACACACACACACACATCCACACAAACACACACACAATCCCAATATATGTGTGTCTGTGTGTGTGTTTCTTGGAGAGAGAGTAGTTTCAAGGGCTGGTGAACAATAAATAGGCATATATATATTCTTCATAAAAATAAAAATAACTTTGAAACAACCATCTTGATTTCTTAGATCATATTTGTATTTATTTTATCTCATCTTCTTTTGTCACCGCTACAGAAAAATATAGAACCAATCAGTGACTGCCACGTCGGCAGTACACGTGTTTTGACCAAGGCGAGTCCGCCACGGACTCTCAAGTCACCTCACCTCTACAATCTTACCGACTATAAATACCCTCAACAGTCATTTCTACAGAAGAAAATTAGGGGAAAAATAAAGAAAAAACAGACTGAGAAATTAAGAGATTGGTGTGCAATCGCCGTCGGCGGAATTTTCACAACCTTACACATCGGCCAAATTTTCCGATACCTATCTCATCGCAACAATGGTAAACTTCCTGAATTTTGACTCATTTTTATGATTATTTGCCTTTTGCCCCTTTGCTTTATGCTATATGAATTATGGTGCTGATAAATTATTTTATATTCCGTTCGAAGTTTTTCACGGACACTGGCGAAGCAAAATCAGCAGGGGGAACACAAAATTATTTTTGCTGTAGAGAATTAATTAATAGTAAACAAGAGCAGGGGGATTCCTTTAGGGCTTCATTATTGCACTTCCATTGAAGCATCATACTAGAAAACTCTATAATTTTGATTCAGAAAACCCTAATTTAAATTCTAAACACCGAAAAATTTTTGAAAATTAAATTAGATATCCTTAATTTAATTTTGAGAAAAAAATCCAGTTAACGAACTTTTAGCCAAAACCTTAACATTAGATTTCAGATTAAGAGAGAAGAAAAATGATAGAGGGGTAGATGCTCAAAAAATCCAACTTACACTTCTAACCTAAATCTTAACATTCCATTGATTGGGAGAGAAAACAATGACAAAGGATCAGAGGTAGAGATTGAGAAAAATAAAATTACCTTGATTGAATTGATTGAGAGACTAGCGAAGGCGACAGCGGAAGGCTGGCGGTGGTGACGGAGGCAACAAGCGGAAGTCTGGCGGTGGTGGCGGAGGCAACAAGCGGCAGGCTGGCGGTGGTGGCGAAGGCGACAAGCGGCAGGCTGGCGGTGGAGCCGAAACGAGAGAGAGTGAGTGGAAGGAAAATGGTGAGAGAGGAAAATAATAAAATTTTAATTGCTATTCAATTATAAGGATCCTTCGGTTATTAATTGTAAAAGATTTATGATAAAATTTATATTTAATTAAAAATTATTTAGTGGTGACAAAATCAATTTTGTCACAGTAAAAAATGAATGTGACGAAATTACTTTGTCAAAACACAATTAAATGTTGTCACTAAAAGGGTGCACCGACCGTTGGAATGAGCTAGCCATTTCTTTTCATGACAAATTTATAGTATTGTCATATAAAACGAACTTTATGTGACGAAAACAATTTTGTCTCATAAAACATTACTTTATGAGACGACATCTCATTTCGTCATATAAACTTGTTATTTATGTGACTAATTTAACTTTCGTCACAACAAATTGTCACATAAAATACATTTTTTTGTAGTGATAAGGAAATTTCTGAATTACATATAATTAATTTAAAAAAAAAAACAGTGCAAATTAAAAGATATATCAACAGAAAGAATGTAGTGATGATCTGATACCTTCAAAAGGCAATACGTACACACACACTCACACACACACACACACACAACACACAAATACACACACACAATTAGATATTTTCATATTCAAAACATCAACATCTCTTCTGCGAAATCACACATAAATGAATTAGCAGAAAAGACGTAGAAAGAAGACCGAAAAAATGAAGAAAAAGAACAAGTGTTTAGGTAGAGAGAGAAACAACTTTGAAAAATCAGCTCGTCTCTATAAATACCTAGCTACCTCCAAATATATCATATCACACAAACATATAAAACAAATAAGAGAGATCAATATATATATATATATATGATATGCCTAATTGGGCCAACCCAATGGGCCTACAATTTCCTTACATACTGGGCCACGAGCCCAATATCGAAAACCATTATCACTGAGGCCCAATCACCTTCAAGTAAGGTTTGGGCCCGACAATCTCAACTAAACTATAAATAAAGGTTTGAACTCATTCCTTAAGGTACGTCCTATTAACTGAGCAATACTACAATACGTATTCTCTGGACTATTTCTATGATCAGCATGTCTGACTTGAGCGTCGGAGGGGTTTCCGCCGGATCAACCCCCAGCGTAGTTCATGTGTGTTCATTTCGCAGGAACCTCAGGATCATCAAGTTGTCAAGCTATTGATCTGCTTTGCTCTCCCAGCTCATTTTCAACACTACCACAGGTGAGCTATATTTAGCATCATCATTTTGGCGCCGTCTGTGGGAACGATGCAAACCAGATCACGTAGCCAACAAGATCCTCCTGAGGCGTCTGCTCGGAGAGAAAATGACACAGCTAACGACCTCCCACCTCGTGGAGGCTCTGGCTTGCCACCTCCTCCACGTCCCATGGATCCGCCTCGCGAGGTTCAGGTGATCCCCCTCGGGACCAACCACTCGCCGATCCACCACTCCCTGCTCCTCGAATGGTTCAAATAACCGAGGATGCGCTTCAACGCATGATATAAGAAGCTTCAACTCGCGCTGCCATAGAGGCCGTGACCCAATATATCGCCACGATGGGAGCAAATGCTCCCAACGCGATACCAGCACCTGCTCCACATGTGGAGCCACCTATGCACCACCGCCAAGGGTTATCGACTCCCTGGGGACTTACATCTGCCCCCAAAATATTTCGTTCGCCAAGGGTTATCGACTCCCTGGGGGTTTATAGTGCCCCCAAAATATTTTGCTCGCCATGGGTCATCGACTCTCTGGGGCCTACTTTCGCCCCCCCTCGAACGGTTCAGATAACCGAAAAGGACCTTCAGCGTATGATCGCCGAAACTTCAACAATATCAACTTCTATTTGCTCCTCTAACGGTTCAGATAACCGACAAGGACCTTCAGCATACGACCGCAAAAGCTTCAACTCGTGTTGTCACTGAAGCAACGACACAACCGTGTGCATTCACCTCAGACCATAGGTCTCGAGCGCCTCATCCTACAGTGGGTGGTTAACCCATCCCAAGGTTGGGCACCACCCTTACCTTTCAACCCCAAGTGGGTCCACATCACATCACAAGAGACGAGTATAATCTTCCTACTCAAAAAATAGAACATCCCAAGGGTGAACATCAACCACCAAAAAAAAAAAATCAAAGAAGAAGATGAAAAAATAGAAGAAAAAAGAAGAAGACGAAAAAACAGAAGAAAAAGAAGAAGATGAAGAAAAAATAAACAAAAAAAAAAAAAAAACAAAAAAGAAGAAGAAGAAAAAAGAAGAAGTTGAAGAAAAAAGAAACAAGAAAAAAAGAAGAAGAAAAAAAAAAGAAGAAGAAGATGAAGAAAAAAGAAGAAGAATTAGAAGAAGAAGAAAGAAAGAAGAAAAAAAAAAAAAAAAAAAAAAAATCAAAAAGTAAGCCAAGCCGCGCCACCACCCAAGCTACGCGCAGCCTTCTCCTCGGTGCGCGCGCGCGTCAACTCAAAAAAAAAAAAGAAAAAAAAAAAATCGCAGCAGAACAGCAGTTCGTGCGTGACACCCACGCGCGACAAGCGCGTGCTTCACACGCGCACTGCGCTGCTGTGGCTTCTGCCTATGCGCGTGCAGCGCACGCGCCCTGCCTCTCTCTCCCCGCGCGCGTAACGCACGCGCCCCACCCTCACTCTCCACGCGCGCGCACCGATGCACCTGCTTTCTCTCTCCGCGCACGTTTTCCCAGAACAGTCAATCACGCGCGCGCGCGCTCCTAGATACATCAGATCGCACGTCACTCCTCACCTAATTGCGCACAGATTCTACCGCGTTACACCAAATTGCGCGCGGATTTCACCTCGCTTCACCTAATTGCGCGAGAATTTTAAAGCGCTCCACCAAATTGCGCGAGCTTTCCAACGCGCCTTACCTAATCGCACGCGCTCTCTAAGAGGTAAAAAAAAAAAAGAAAAAAAAAAAAATTATTCCTCCACACCCACGCTGAGGATTAACGCAAGACTACAGCACCGATCTACTCTTAATACGATCCGGTACCCCTTTCGACATGACTCCCACATCGTCTCGAGAGTGGGGGGCTTGCGAGACAACTCCCACGAGGAGTCAGTACTACCACCCGCAGCGAGATAACTCTCACGAGGAGCCAACTCCATCGGGTCTCATAACCACAGCGAGATAACTCCCACGAGGAGACCACTCGCTTCGTCCTACAACCCGCAGCGAGACAACTCCCACGAGGAGCCAACTCCCTCGGGTCTACGAAACCATAGCGAGATAACTCCCACGAGGAGACCACTCGCTCCGTCTTACAACCCGTAGCGAAACAACTCCCACGAGGAGCCAACTCGCCCGGTACTACAACCGGCAGCAAGATAACTCCCACGAGGAGATAACTCGCTCAGTCATATAACCCGTTGCAAGGCAACTCCCACGAGGAGTCAACTCCCTCGGGTCTACGAACCCACAGCGAGATAACTCCTACGAGGAGACCACTCGCTCCATCCTAAGACCCACAGCGAGAAAACTCCCACGAGGAGCCAACTCGCTCGGTACTACGAACCCGCAGCGAGACAACTCCCACGAGGAGCCAACTCGCTCGGTACCACAACCCGCAGCGAGACAACTCCCACGAGGAGCCAACTCGCTCGATACTACAAATCCGTTGAAAGGCAACTCCCACGTGCAACCACCTCGCTCGATAATAAGACTCGCTGCGAAACAACTCCCACGAGGAGACAACTCGCTCAGAGCAACCTCAATCCGCACGCGCCTCAATCGCGCGTCATCCAATGCTCCTACAACTTCGGTGCAAGACAACTCTCTCGAAGAGACAACTCGCTCGCAATGCACTGTATAATCGCAAGCTCAAGTTAGCACGATTACAACCCTAGAAACACTTAGAGATATTATGAGAATCTATATAGCCTGGCCAGCTTGATTACTCAAAATTTATCTACTTGTTTTCGATGGGTCCTTCATTAAAACGTGGCCACGGTCCAAACATACTTACGACCCACGAGGTCTAACAAAGGGCACGATCCCCATATAAAAATCTTGAGAGTCTGATCCCCTCCTCAAGTACATCACGCAGAAGGCTATATGTAAACACATACAAGCAACGCGTCAAAACATTGACAATGTCGATAAATAACAACTCCCACGAGGAGAATACTAGCTCCGTGCTACTACATTATCGCGAGACAACTCCCACGAGGAGATAACTCGATCAACTCTATTACCCCACGACGGGACAACTCCCACGAGGAGATAACTTGATCCGAGCTACTACATCGTCGCGGAATAACACCGACGACTCAAATAACTTATATCGCGACAAATTTTGGTCGCGCTACGCGCCAACGCGCCTTCACTCCCCTCTGACACACGCTCCAACGTGTTTTCGCACATCATCGACTACTACAATTTTTACTCTCGACACGATATGTCACCCATTTCAACATGGCCCCCACATCGACTCGAGAGTGGGGGGCTTAATGATATGCCTAATTGGGCCAACCCAATGGGCCTACAATTTCCTTACATACTGGGCCACGAGCCCAATATCGAAGACCATTATCACTGAGGCCCAATCACCTTCAAGTAAGGTTTGGGCCCGACAATCTCAACTAAACTATAAATAAAGGTTTGAACTCATTCCTTAAGGTACGTCCTATTAACTGAGCAATACTACAATACGTATTCTCTGGACTATTTCTATGATCAGCATGTCTGACTTGAGCGTCAGAGGGGTTTCCGCCGGATCAACCCCCGGCGTAGTTCATGTGTGTTCATTTCGCAGGAACCTCAGGATCATCAAGTTGTCAAGCTATTGATCTGCTTTGCTCTCCCAGCTCATTTTCAACACTACCACAGGTGAGCTATATTTAGCATCATCAATATATATATATATATATATATATATATATATATATATATATATATATATATATATATATATATATATATATATATATATATATATATATATATATATATGGGGATAGACCCCTTTTTTTATATATATATATATATATATATATATATATATATATATATATATATATATATATATATATATATATATATATATATATATATATATATATATATATATATATATATATATATATATATATATATATATATATATTAAGTACATATATATGGGGATAGACCCCTTTTTTTTTATGCAATTTTTTTTGCCTTTTCTTTTGGCCCATTTAATACCTAAACTACGTCGTTTGGTTCTCTCCCACCAATCATCTTCTCACGTTATTTTCTTTTTTATTACTTCTGGAGCAGCTCGACCGTGACACGCTTGCTTGCTTTTTCCTTTTCTTTTAATCTGTTTTATGCAGAACGACGTCGTTTGGATGGCTGAAGCTCAAATGTTATTTTTATTTTCTTTTCTTTTATGCTTTGGTTTTCTTTTGTTTTTTGGCCGCCTACAATTGTTGACGCCGCCGGAATTTCCTCACCCAGGCCGTACGTCATGTCTGCAATCATCACGTTTTTCTCTTATCCTTTGCTTCTATCTTCCAACAAGTTCCGAGGTTGCCCCATCGTCTGCTGCGTGTACTTCCTATCTCTTGAATTTCAATTTTGGGATGACAGCACCTATGTGATAAACTTTAGTTCAAACTCTGGAAATCATCCTCCATTTCCGTGCCGTTGAAGAACAACGTCATCCGCCGCATCCGCGTCCCTCCACTATGAGGATCTTCTCCTTCAGGCTCCTGATGGTGTCGGTTTCGTCGACGTCGATTTGGATCTTTCTTGCCGAGAATTTGACGGTGATTTTCATTTTGGTTTCCGGCGGCGGCTGAATAATTGGTGGCGGCGGCGGAGTTTGCTTCGTGGTTGAGGGGTGGATTTTGGTGCCGTCGGAGATGAGTGGGTAGTCGTCTAAATCAAGGCTGTCGATAAGCTCGCAGTCGCAAATAGTGAGGATTTGTGAGTCGAAAGGGATGCCCAGAAGGTGTTTGATTTTATGCTTCATTTCAATGATGGGTTCTTGTGTGCTCACTTCCATGGAGAATATGCAGTACCCTGTCATTACAGTGGTGATCTTCATCAATCAAGCCATCAGTTTCTGTTTTTTTGGAAGTGATTAATTAATTATTTAATTAATGGATAAATGTGCTCCTATATTGGTGGACAATGGAGCCCTTGTTTGTGCCTCACTTGGTGGATATGGTAGATTATATCAGTTGTGACCCAATCTCCGCTTCTAAACGGGTACGCTATCGAATTGCGTCCGCGTTACAGATTTTCAATTTAGCTTTGGTTTGTTAGTTTGTGTAATGTGATTTACGGCAAAGTCGATTCATTTTTGGGAATTTTATGTCTTTTTTAGATCCCAAATCTAGCGCAGATCTATTTGATTGTCTTTTACGAGGAGCGTGAATTTGCATTGTTTGTATCGTTGATTTCTAACGAGCTTAAAGTGCCTGTAAGGTAATTACGTCGAATTTGTTATTTCTTGTTCCTTTCGACACATCAAAACAATGTTTTATTTATAAATCGTACACTTAGTGCTGTTTATTGTTTGATCTTTCGATAACTAGATACTTGAGAGAAGATAAGCCACACGGTTCGGCTGGTGGACTATATAACTTTAGGAATTTTATCATGGAAGATGATCCGGTTCGTATTTTAATTTTATTCTTTATTATTTACACATTCTATTAAAATCTAATAGAAATTAAATATATATATATTTTTTAATACGGGGTCGTCTTTTTTTTTTTTCTTTTCACACAGTCGCACATTTTTTTGCTGAATTGTGACGTTTGTTGCAGTTTTCCACTGTCTCAAATGCTAGGTAAATTGTCCAAATTTTACCAGAGAGTAATATCTCGTTGTCTTTTTTCGGAATATGAAGTTTATTAATTTACGGATTACTTTGCAGAGGGTCACAAAAGCTATGGTGGGCTCGGAACAATTTTAGTGAACAAGGTCCGTAACTCGATAATGCCATCTTTCTTGATTAAATAAATAACACTTGTCAAATTATCATTGGTTCACAAATTACGTTTTCCTTTTTTCCAGGTTTCTCCCGAGTTAGCTAGCCAGTTCGGGGAACTCGTTGCACGTCCTGTTACGAACGAGCTTTTGCATTATACCGAGAAACCTGAAAATTTTGTATGTAATAATTCCAATTATTAATTTTTTTTTACTGTAATTGATAATAGGTAGTTACTATATTTTTGTATCTGTATGTAACAGGTTAGTGACCGTATTAACTGTGGTGTTTACGTATTCACGCCGGAGATCTTTACAGCTATTCAAGGTGTATCCACGCAACGTAAAGAAAGAGGTTAGTTCGTATAGCAATCTTCGGTATTAATACGTTTTTTAACGCTGATTAGTTAGCTTAATGATATATTTATTTCTCGTTTTTTTGTTCGTTCTATTTTGCAGCTACTCTAAGACGTGTAACGAGCTTCGAAGCACTTCAACCTGCAAACAGGTACATAAACGCACAATGTACAAACTGCTCGTATATTTTTCCTCATTGTGAGGAGAAAAAAAATCGCGTCGGTAAATTTACGATACAAATTTTAATTTGCAGGAATCTTCCGACAGATTTTGTACGATTGGATCAAGATATTCTATCACCACTTGCTGGTAAGAAGCAGTTTTACGTGTACGAAACGATGGATTTCTGGGAACAAATTAAAACCCCCGGGTAAGTTAAATACAGTACAATGTCGTCTGCTTCTGCTTCGACTATATATATGTTCTTTAAAGACTGTTATATTCTATCGAACGGGATTTTTTTTAATTTTTCTTTTTTTTATTGTGTAGAATGTCGTTGAAATCTTCTGGGCTATATCTCGCCCAATATAGAATAATCTCACCCAATCTTTTGGCGAGTGGAGATGGTTCGAAAAATGCTACGATATCTGGCGATGTGTGTATTCATCCATCGGCAAAAGTTCATCCTACTGCAAAGGTAGTCCCAAGATCCATCATTTTTAGGGTAAATTACAACCACCTCCTTGAGGTGAAGTGTAATTACAAAAAAAACCCTCTGAGAAATTACATCCAACCCCCTGCAATTTGAAAATTTCTTACATTCACCCCCTATAAAAGGGTGTTAGCGTATGACATTTACAAATTTCAAGGGGATGGATGTAATTATTGGAAAATGAGGGGTTTTTTATAAATATACCTTACTTCAGGGGCAGTTGTAATTTACCCTTTTTTTTATGTTTCCAATATTTTTTTCTTAAATCCATTTCTCCTTCAGAAAGATAAAAAAGTTGGATTTTGACCACCCTTTAAAACGATTAGGAAAAAGGTTTGTATTGCACATGTTCTTCCGTTGTACAACTATAGTGGTTCTTCTTCTTTGTAGGTGAAGTAAAAATAGGTGTTTCAGTTTTGCACAAAAATAACATTCTTTACTGCCTTTTCTTTTCCACTTTTTTTTGGCCCATTTAATGATGAAACTGCGTCGTTTCAATCTCTCGGTCCAATCACGTGTTACACTTCTTTTCTTTTTCCTTTATTTCTCAAGACGCGTTGGGTGCTTCAATTTACTGTTCTTTCACCTTTTCTTTTATTCTGCTTCCTGCGGAACGACGCCGTTTAGAAGCATGAGCCTCAAATCTGCCCAACCATTGTTCACCACCGACGTCGCCTCCACCGTAGCCTCCGCCGCCGTCGCCGCCTTGGTGGGTCCCAAGCCTATTTTCCTTTTCTTTTCTTTTCTTTTCTTTTCTTTTCTTTTATTCTTCTGTTTTCCCTTGTTTTTTGGCCGCCTACAATTACTGACGGCGACGGAATCTCCATGTCTGCAATCATCACATTATTCCTTTATCCTTTGCTTCTATCCTCCAACAAGTTCCGAGGTTGCCCCATCGTCTGCTGCGTGTACTTCTTATCTCCTGAATTGCTGCTTTTGAGATGACAGCACCATATGTGGATATGGCTTACAAATTTTACCTCTTTACCAAATCCCTCTTCCTCTCCATTACTCTTACCCTAGGAGGTCCGAATTCCATTCACTGCCAGATTGTTCGACTTCGTCTCCATCCAATGTTGCATCGGGCTTCTCACCGCAATTCCTCTCTATTTGAATCTCGTTCTTTTTCCCCTTTCTCTTCTCCTCCTTCTGCCGCCGCACCGCCACCGCTGCTGACCGCCCCTTTCTTTCTTCATTCATTTCGACGACCCTCTTTCCATGGCGGCGGCCTCTTCCAACCATACATATGAGGCTGCAACTTTCTTTTCCCCTGCCCCTGCCCCTGCCCCATCTCTCTTCGGAGATCGCTCACCCTTTCCCCCTTTGTTGAGGTACCAATCCATGAATTTATTTTTTATGTTCTACTGTCATTCGTAGGTTGCCCCTTCGAGAAAGCCTTGGTTTATTTTCGGTATAGTTTTAGGTTGCTGGAGGCAGGCAGCATGGTCAGTAATTCATGGTTCGTACAAGTTTCGCGTACCTACAATTGTCGCCCCCCCCCCTGCCGCCGCTTCGTTCGCCGCTTGTCGCCGTCAGCTTCGATTGTAGGCTGGCTGTGATTTCGAGGTCTGTGACTGAGAAGGGTCGTGGTCCTATGCCTCATTTGAAGTTGGAATGACTCTCTCAGAACGTGAAATGGTAAATTCCATTATTTTCTTTACTTTTCATGTGCCTGGCTTTACTTGTCCGAACAATGCTATATGGAAATAATGGAAGAGTTTGAAGAGTAGACAAACTAACAAAGATGCTGTTGATTGCCGTAGTGTGAATAAAAAGCAAATTATTCCTCCATTAAGAGAAGATTTAATTGTTTACTGATCTCGTTATAGTTTTGATTATGGGGAATAGAATATTCTGTTTATTTGTTATATGTTGATTGGGAAGAAGATTCTTTTTTAGGCTGCAACTTTGCTGAAATGTGTTGTCCATTATTTATAGGTATTGATATCCTCAGTCAAAAAAATAGTGTTGAAGAACTAAAAACAATTTATTTTGTCTCTGTTTTCGACAATATAATTTTGCAGTGAAAAATCAATACTTGCATACTATAATTTCTTTAATATATAATTTATTATTTATAAATTTGTGATCTGGTATATCAAATATGTTTCTTGTCAATATTGACGGCCGGCTTGTTATGGAGATGAGCTTGTTAAAGCCAATGAGATTTATAATTAATATTACACTTTTCTATTGCTAATAGACAAATGGGATTAGGTAATAATCTTCTGTGGACATGTTTTTAAATAAAATGCTAAAGTAATTTATAGTTCTTTAACCATGAAGACAAACATGTAGTCAGTAATTTTCATAATGAATGGGTCTAACTGTTTTTATCCTTGTAGTTGCTATGTAATTGTACAAGTTTATATAAAAAATAAATTGTGAAAAGTTAGCATCAAAGCTACATTCTGGGATTTATGTTCTGGATAATGGTCCATTCACCACCCTTTTTGTTCGACAGGAGAGAGCTACTAAACTATTTCCGATGCACCGTCGTTCTAACTTCCGTTAAAGGCTACCGGAATAAAGGCATGCGGTACGCAATAGGCGATGGCTGCAGTGTGTGACCTCGAAACTGCCTCGGCCCAAGAACTGTTTGAAGGTAATTTTTGTGCTTCTCGTATTTTATTCGATGTTAGGAACATTAAAAGTAAATTATGCCATTTTACGTGTCTATGACTCTGATAGGAAAAATGAACTTCAAGGGCAAGCTGAGGGAGCTCCCGGTGATGGTTATGTCGTCGAAGAACTTTTTGCGCGCACTGATAGGTATTAGCCTATATCAAGATTTTATTATTATTATTATGAAATATATATTCCTATTTTCAGTATCTAGATTCTTGTATTCTTGTATAATGGGAAATGGTTAGCCTAATGACAATGCGCATGAAGGTTTTACAAATGTTTTAGAGGGGTATAAATAAATTTCAAGTAGCAGTTGTATGTTCCTTGAATTTCTTATTATGTTGAGTTTGCGATTTTCTTTATTTATTCTTTTGGTTCAGGGAAATTATATGATGTTGGATTAAGATTCTGGCACCTCTTCCTGCCGCTGAAAATCGATTATAGCCCCGCAACACCTTTCTTCCTTCGATGCCCACCACCCACGCCGCCACTGCATTCTCACATTTCATTCAATATTAGAGAGCGACTGAAATGCCGTGGTGTGTGGAAGTATTTCTGGACGACAAATATATGAAGGTGTATATATGTATCAGTAGAGTGAATTTGGTGAGTAAATTAGCTTTGCATTATATTCTTTATTTTGATGGTTTTTATTTTATTTTAATTAGTCTATTTTGATGATCTTATTTCGACCTTTTCTTTATGGATTGGGGTGGTTGAAACTTGAGAATGACTAAAATAGAAAGAATTACTCTTAAAGAAGAAAGAGAAACATAAAGAAAGAATTTGAGAATGAGAGGGGCTATCTTTTTTTTAAATGTCAGTGCGTGGTTGTGTCAGGGTTCTTTTTCGGTGAGTACTCATTCTCCTCCAGACATTATTGTTTGGTTTTTTTGTTCTCACTTCTGTAAATTGCACATCTGGTTTTTTTTTTTCCTGCACGGGGTACACCAGTCATTACTGTCCGGATATCTCATGAGTCCAGATAGGGCAGTTGGTAGCACTTGTCGAATTCGAGTTCCTCTCTGGGAACTCATCTCAAAGGTTCTTTTTTTCCCGCTCATTAGCCCTTCGCTGTTATGCAATTATGTGAAAGAAATTTGGTAAATTTTTGTGATGCTTGCAGTTATAAGAGAAGAAACATAGAGATTGACAAACGTTTCATTATATGATTTTATTATACAACGTTAGGAGACGACAACGTCTCTATGTTCTCATTCCCGAAAGGGGCTTCAAGACTGTGTATATTAGAGGAGGGTCTGGTGGTTCTGTTAATTCCGGCCTAGCGCAAATATTCATGGCTCCGGCGGTGGTGGTGGTGGTGGAGTGAAAAAGTTTGTATTACACATGTTCTTCCGTTGTACAACTATAGTGGTTCTTCTTCTTTGTAGGTGAAGTAAGAATAGGTGTTTCAATTTTGCACAAAAATAAACACAAATTGTTTCTTACTCATATTTCTTTTTCCTCCCCCAGCCACCGCCGATATGACTACTGGCAATGAAGCTGCAGCGCACCTCGACCTTGAGACCGGCGACTCGCCGGCGTTGATGGGGGTGGATGGGGCAGCGATCCTGATTTCTCTGATCCTTTCGACATTGCCAACACCAAAAACGCCTCCCATGAATCGCTCAAGCGCTGGAGGGTAAGATTTCGCCGGCGTGTGTTTGTTTATTGTATTGCATTTAATTATCACATGCAATAAATCGTTTGTTTTCATCGTAAAATGTGATGTCGTTGTTGGTGATTCTTTTATGGCCTCTGTTTTGGTTTCATGCACGTGACGTTTCGATTACCCGATCCCATAATAGTGCATCTTATTTTTCTGTTTTGAGGATAAATTAAACGGTTGAATGATTAGTCGTCGAATTTATCATTTTTGCTTTTATGGTTATGGAATTTAAAATCACTTGAAAGTCGATGAATTACATGCATGTGCACCTCTTTCTGATTGTCTAAGTGTTGGTCCTTTTGCAGCAAGCCGCCCTCGTGCTTAATGCTTCGTGACGTTTCCGCTACACGTTAGACCTGAAAAAAGACGAAGAACAAGAAAAGAGAAGACGGATGATCAGAGCACATGCTCAAGTCATAAGGGTAATATTAAAACACATTAGTCTTCATTCCGTACTTTTATTCATTTGATTCTTGATATTCTGGTGTCGGTGGTTGTAGGCTGCACTGCTCTTTAAGTTGGCTGGACAACGAGCAATAGGTATTTTTCGAGTGTTGCTTCTTTTTAAGCTTGTTTTCCTAATTCCATCTCTGCTACAAACCTGATTTGATTATCGTCAATTCAGTATTAGGCACGACAGTAGCTCCACCATCTCCTAACGGTGGTTATGAAATCGGCCTCGAGCAACTTGCTTCGATGAAAAGGGAACATAATATTACAGCACTGCAACAATATGGAGGGGTAACACTTCCTTTTTTCCTTCACCATCTCTCTAGGAAGTCTACTAACATATGCTATATGCATAAATATTAATCTCGACCGTCATTTTATTCAGGTTAAAGGGTTGGCAGAAATGATAAAAACAGACGTCGAAACAGGGATATATGGTGACGAAAATGAGTTATCATGAAGAAAGAATGCTTTCGGCTCAAACACGTATCCCGTGAAAAAAGGAAGGAGTTTCTTGGTAAGACTTGTCTAGAGTGTTATATTTGTTTGATCATATGTTCTTACTTATACATTTCCACCATTTACTTATTCGACGTTTGTTTTTGCGCAGAGGTTCCTATGGGAATCTTGGCAGGATCTGACCTCATTATTTTAATAATAGCCGTTGTGGCCTCTTTGGCTCTCGGAATAAAAATCGAGGTTGGCTAGAAATACAACAATACCATATTATTAAGAGAATTTATATAATTTCCTTCATATATAATTTAAGAATTGCTCGTGTTTTCCAGGGCCTGGAGGAAGGATGGTACGACGGCGGAAGCATCACCTTTGCTGTTCTACTGGTTATTTTTGTTACAGGTTAGAAAATTCAAATTGGTTGTTTATAACCTTAAGAGAGAAGTAATATAATTTTCACTTTTTATCATTGCATCTGTTGTTCAGCAACTAGTGATTACCGGCAGTCCCTCCAGTTTCAAAATTTAAACGAAGAAAAACGGAACATCAAATTGGATCAAAATGAACATATGCACACTTGATTTGATTATTTGTTGACTTTGCAACTACGATTGATTTTCTTGCTCAGCGATTAAGAATGGTTGATCTGAAGCTAGGACTCCGGAAATGAGAAATCAATTGGATATTATACATTTTTTTCCTTTTGGCAGACGGGGATGCATATATTTCGTCCGGTTAATTTAATTTCCTTAAAGTTGTTGGAATTTTTGTTTGTGTCAATATGATGCTTTTTAATGGAGGATTGAGTATCAAGGAGATAGCTATTTACTCATTCATTATCTGGATATTATACTATTATGGAGATTAACCATTTTCATTGGTTTTCTTGTTGCTCGTCTTCCTCCGATTTTTTGAACTGCATTTTTTAACTTTAATACGGTCCTCGGTGTCTTCTTCAAGCATCATTTCAAACTTATATTGACAGCTCATGGTGATCTTGTGAGTGAGAGCATTTTCCGGTTTGAAGTTCATTTGTATATTTCCTAAAATCTGCCTTTCTTGTTTCAATTGTTATTAGAATCTCCTTTGTTGCAATCTTCTAGACCGTTCAAGGTTCAACTTCGTGCCCTGCCTGGATAGGTTTGCAGAGGTAGCTCTTTAATGTGACTCATATTCTCAACAGTATAAATTGTTTAAAACTTTGCACCGCACAATTTTTCTTTCTCCTTTATTTTCGTTGTATATTCGAGTGCAATCAAACAGACAACTCCCATTTATTTTCACTTTTTTTGGGCGCTTTCTTCTCCGTGGACGAAGGCGATAGTTAGAGCAAGGGATATCCGACTACAAATGTTGCATGGGTTGATTGCAAGAAACTCAATAAAATCCTGGGAGTTGCACACAAAATTGGCTGATTCCTATAAAGAAGTTGTTGCCAATCTGAATATTGCCAACGCTCAACAGGTTCCTCTAAACCTTTCCACTCGCACAAAATTTTCGCTCTTGTTTTCTATTTGTGCTGGTTTATGCAATGCAATTATCCTGCTTGTTTATGCAATTCTTTAGTTATTTTTGTTCTTTGCTGCTCCGATTCTTGTTTTTTGCTATCATGATATTGTCTGCTATATTGGTTAGTGAAATTTGCAGCCTAACTAGAAATTGTAGAAATTAGCTCTGTTCGAGGATACTATATTGAAACAGTTCGACTCCAAACAGGTTAATGGTTGCGCTTTTGCCATATATACATCTCTTCAATCCCTACTCTAATATTATTTTTTGTTCGCTGTGACGTTTCTGTATATTTTTTATTTTTTGGTTATCTGGCCTTCACATCTTACTTCACTCTGGCGTTTCCTTCACCCTTCACCCGTAGATCAGTTCTTATTTGGAGTGCATTCTGCATCCATGGTTGCAGGGGAAAAGACGGCAGCCCTCGTTCGTCATCTGTGATCATGGATCTGCAATTCCTGTGCAACATGATCCTCTTTCGAGTACTGTATTTTGCACCTTTTGCGGGCCACTGCTTTTGTTATTTTTCATTTAGAATTTGTTTAATAGACACACATCGAAAGTTATGGACTGTGACTCGAAGTCTAATGTTATTTTGTGATCGAGGCTAGGGTGCCTCTGATTGGTTGGATTCTGAGTATTGTAGTGCCGAAAAACTTAAAATTAGATAGGTTGGAAATTCGTTCAATAACGAGTGTGAATATATGTAACTTCTGATATCGTTTCTTTCAGGGTGGTATTTTTTAATGAGTTGCTGAAGAATTTATCATTTTATACCTAAAGTTAGTTTCATTTTAGTAATTCGTACTTGTGATTCTTATGTTGAATGCCAGGTTTCTTCTTAAGCCATATGCACTAGGTTCGGAGCTGTTGGTCCAAACTTGGTTTGGCCTGTGCGTATTCTGATGATTATATCCTATCTTATTTCTTATCCAATCGGAAAGGTAATTTATATATCGCCGAAATGAAATCTCTCTTTACATGTTATTCTGTACTTCTATAGGCCTGAGTTCGGCGATTAATAATACTCCGGCAAAACAATCAACAAATGCGCTCGTGCAGTAAAACAAATTGAGAATCTATTATGGTAGTTTACTATTGATGGAATACTAATGTTTCTGAAAGTGCAAACCATAAGATATATACAGCTGAAATTATATTAAAGAAAGCCCTACCTACTGTCCAAAACAGCAACACCACATTTAACATGCTTGTTAGTAATATCACATAATAGAATAAGAAGTGGACTAGATTTTTTGAATCGAAGTTATCTGGATGTTGGATTTAGCAACCAGGCTGTACAGTGTTTTTTTCCATTTTATTTTTTGTGAAGACTGATCCATAACTGAAGAATTATATAGTTGATACTTTTCGAATTTTGTAAATTGTTTTTGGCAGAAACAACTGGTTCGAAGACATGTTGCACTAGGCAGGTTAGATCTCCGTTGCGAGAAATCATATTCCTGCATCAAAATTTCTTGGTACTTGCTTAAAAAATGTAAGGCTTCAATAATTTATACTTTTACTTTGTGTGTGTATATGTATATGCATGTTGCCTTGTGTTATTACTCATTTATTGGGTTGATCATATATATCAGGTCTGGAAATATGTGGAGTGGCTGCGGATTGAGGTGGGCTAATTATCTAAGGCATTAACATTTCATTCTATGTCGATTGAAAAGCTTAAATGAAGCAAAAAACTCCTTTCAAATTTGTTTCCAACAAAGTTAGTTGCGGCCGATTTTGCATATTTCTTCGGTCCTTTTGTTTTCTTGGAATTATGGAGTAGTCGGTGTATGCCATTATCTTCTTTCTAATAAATTCTTGCTTTCTTTATATCTAATGGAATATAATGGAGCTTGCTTTGTTTCTGTTGAACTTTTCATATAGTTGTGACCATTTTTTCTACTTCTTGCATGCTTGTTTGATTCCTGTGGGAGTTAGTTTCCTCTGGTAATAGTTGGACTTTAAAAGAGTGAATTATTTATGTCTATATCTTTATGTTCGTGATCTTTTCAATTATTTAGTTAATTTTGACTCCATAGTTAATTCTAAATGTATGATGATAGGAGTCACAACATGGGCTTCAAATATAGGATTTAATCTAATCAAATGCTATCTTCATACTTCGACTGAATTCATGTTGACTTTCTTAATTGAAACTTTACTAAATAACACAATGAAAAATTACTTTCTTTGTTGTTTTTTTTTTTTTTTTTTTTTTCTGATTGTGTTTAGGCATAATATTTTGCCCTGGTACTTTGGCTTTATACGAGAAAATATGCTACAAAACTACCTCATTGATTTCAAATTGTTGCAACTCTATTAACCTTCTTGCTGGACAAAGAGCCGAAGTTTCAGTCATCTTTCCAATCGCTCCACTCAAATTGCAAATTTAACCCCAAAGTGGATCTCTCTTGCAATATTAGAAATATCCGCTACCAACGCATTATGCTTCTATTCTTTCTCAGTTATAATCGTGTGTGATTCATTTACGAAAATTTGCAATACCGAGTTTAAAATCTTATGATTGACGATTCAAACCGTTCATACCTCAGTCTATTCAAAAGTTAAAATAAATCTTAAATATCAACGAAACAATCAAATTTTACAATTTACGATTTAGGAAAACTATAATGTATTATATTATTTATAATAAACTTGCGATAATTACAGTTTTTGTCCCTATATTATATACAGTTTTTTATTTTGGTCCTTAAACCGGAAATGCCCCCAAGTGGAGGTCAATTAGTAATTTCTGAAAATCCACCTACCTGGCTGAAAATTACAGAATCACCCATATACTTACTCCATCTTCCTAGCCGCTCCACCCAAATTGCAAATTTGACCCCAAAGTGGATCTCTCTTTCAACATCCAAAATTTCCGCCACATTTATGAAAGTTCGCAATTCCGAGCATAAAATCTTATGATTTACGATACAAATCATACGATTGAATTCATCCATATCTATGTCAATTCAAATGTTAAAATAAATCTCAAATATCAAAAACTCGATTTAATTTTACGAATTTTGGTCCCTATATAGTATACCTTTCTTTTATTTTTTGGTCCTTCAACCAGAAATGCACCCCAAGTGGAAAGGAATTTGTAATTTCTGGAAATCCACTCCCTGGCTGAAATAATTTTGAAAATTGCAGAATCACCCATATACTTACTTCATCTTCCCAGATGCTCCACCCAAATTGCAAATTTAACCCCAAAGTGAATCTCTCTTGCAATATCCGAATTATCCACCACTACCGTAGTATGCTTTTACTACTCCTCAGCTATAAACGCGTGTGTCTCATTTACGAAAATTTGCAATACCGAGTATAAAATCTTATGATTCACGATTCAAATCTTACAATTTAATTCGTTCATACCTAGGTCAATTCAAAAGTAGATTGAATTTATTATATTATTTATAATAAACTTATGATGATTACAGATTTGGTCCCTATATTATATACCATTTTTAATAGCGGTCCTTAAATCGGAAATGCCCCCAAGTGGAGGTCAATTTGTAATTTTCGAAAATCCACCTCCCTAACTGAAACAGCTCTGAAAATTGCAGAATCACTCCTATACTTACTCCATCTTCTTAGCCGCTCCACCAAAATTGCAAATTTGACCCCAAAGTGGATATCTCTATCACTATCCAAAATATCCGGCACATTTACGAAAATCTGCAATACCGAGCACAAAGTCTTATGATTTACGATTCATATCTTACGATTCAATTCATTCACATCTATGTCGATTGAAATGTTAAAATAAATCTTAAATATCAACTAATCGATCAAATTTTACGATTTTTGGTCCCTATATTATTATACCTTTTTTTTGTTCCTTAAACCAGAAATGCACCCCACTGGGGTCAATTTGTAATTTCTGGAAATCCACCTCGCTGACAAACCATTTTGAAGATTACAGAATCACCCCTATACTTACTCTATCTTCGCACTAGCTCCACCCAAATTGCAAATTTAACTCCAAAGTGGATCTCTCTTGCAATATTCGAAATATCCGCCACCAACGCAGTATACTTTACTACTCCTCAGCTATAAACGCGTGCGACTCATTTACGAAAATTCGCAATACCGAGTATAAAATCTTATGATTTACTATTCAAATCTTACAATTTAATTCGTTCATACCGAAGTCAATTCAAAAGTAAAAATAAATCTTAAATATCAACAAAACGATCAAACTTTACGATTTACGATTTAAGAAAACTTTAATTTATTATATTATTATAATAAACTAATGATAATTATAGATTTGGTCCCTATATTATATATCATTTTTAATATCGATCCTTAAACTGGAAATGCCCCCATGTGGAGTTCAATTTGTAATTTTCAAAAATCCACATCCCTTGCTGAGACAGTGTTGAAAATTGCAGAATCACCCCTATACTTTCAACATCTTCTTGGCCGCTCCACCCAAATTGCAAATTTGACCCCAAAGCGGATCACTCTTTGACTATCCAAAATATCCGCCACATTTACGAAAATCCGCAATACCGAGCACAAAATCATATGATTTACGATTCAAATCTTACGATTCAATTCATTCATATCTGTGTCGAATGAAATGTTAAAATAAATCTTAAATATCAACTAATCGATCAAATTTTACGATTTTTAATCCCTATATGATTATACCTTTTTTTTAATATTGTTCCTCAAAACCAGAAATGCACCTAGTGGGCATCAATTTGTAGTTTTTGGAAATCTACCTCGCTGACTGAAACAGTTTTGAAAATTGCAGAATCACCCCTATACTTACTCCATCTTCCCAGCTGCTCCACCCAAATTGCAAATTTAACCCCAAAGTGGATCTCTCTTGCAATATCCGAAATATCCGACACCAACGCAGTATGCTTTGACTCCTCCTCGTCTATAATCGCGTGTGACTCATTTATAAAAATTCGCAATACCGAGTTTAAAATCTTATGATTTAAGATTCAATTCTTACGATTCAATTCGTTGATACCTAAGTCGATTCAAAAGTTAAATAAATCTTAAATATCAACAAAACAATCAAATTTTACAATTTATGATTTAAGAAAACTTTAGTTTATTATATTATTTCTAATAAACTTGCGCTAATTACAGTTTTTTGTCCCTATATTATATAGAGGTTTTTATATCGGTCCTTAAACCGGAAATGCCCCCAAGTGGTGTTCAATTTGGAATTTTCGAAAATCCACCTCCCTGGCTGAAACATTTTTGAAAATTGCAGAATGACCCTTATACTTGCTTCATCTTCTTAGCCGCTCCACCCAAATTGCAAATTTGACCCCAAAGTGGATCTCTCTTTCACTATCCAAAATATCCGCCACATTTATGAAAATCCGCAATACCGAGCACAAAATTTTATGATTTACGATTCAAATCTTACGATTCAATTCATTCATATCTGTGTCGATCGAAATGTTAAAATAAACCATAAATATAAACTAATCGATCAAATTTTACGATTTTTGGTCCCTATATTATTATACATTTTTTTATTATTGTTCCTTAAACCAGAAATGCACCCTAGTGGGGGTCAATTTGTAGTTTTTGGAAATCTACCTCGCTGACTGAAACAGTTTTGAAAATTGCAGAATCACCCCTATACTTACTCCATCTTCCCAGCCGCTCCACCCAAATTGCAAATTTAACCCAAAGTGGATCTCTCTTGCAATATCCGAAATATCCGACACCAACGCAGTATCCTTTGACTCCTCCTCGTCTATAATCGCGTGTGACTCATTTATAAAAATTCGCAATACCGAGTTTCAAATCTTATGATTTAAGATTCAATTCTAACGATTCAATTCGTTGATACCTAAGTTGATTCAAAAGTTAAATAAATCTTAAATATCAACAAAACAATCAAATTTTACAATTTACGATTTAAGAAAACTTTAGTTTATTATATTATTTATAAAAAACTTGCGCTAATTACAGTTTTTTGTCCCTATATTATATAAAGTTTTTAATATCGGTCCTTAAACCGGAAATGCCCCCAAGTGGAGGAAACGGCTCTGAAAATTGTAGAATCACCCCTATACTTACTCCATCTTCTTAGCTGCTCCACCCAAATTATAAATTTAACCCCAAAGTGGATATCTCTATCACTATCCAAAATATCCCCACATTTAGAAAAATTCGCAATACCGGGCACAAAATCTTATGATTTACAATTCAAATCTTACGATTCAATTCATTCATATCTATGTCGATTGAAATGTTAAAATAAATCTTAAATATCAACTAATCGATCAAATTTTACGTTTTTTGGTCCCTATATTATTATACTTTTTTTTAATTTTGTTCCTTAAACCAGAAATGCACCCAGTGGGGGTCGCACGGTTGCACTTGCTATAAGGGTCGACCCGCCTACCCAATTTTATACTCCTAACCAGACGTTGGTAGGACATTTCCAGACTTTATCGCCTACAGATTACGGGATGACATGGATCGAGTACAAATCTTAAGAAACCAGTCAGAAGAGGTCATCACCGAGCAAAACGAAATTATAACAAGCCTCAAGTCACGGTTGGACGAGCTGGAAACGGAAATACAAAAACAGAACATACACATTGGAGTGCTACAGGTCGAGAGAGCATAGCAACAAACAATGCTGAATCAACAACAACATGAGATAGAAAGTATTAGTCGAGCCCTTCAAATGGCAAATCAACAAAATGTTCAGCTGCGACGAGCACTAGCACGAATTGTACGCCACTTTACCGATCAATTTGTACAGATAAGGCACAGTATGCGTGCCCTGACCCAACATGCAAGGTCTGCTGTCCAACGTGGATATGTACTTGCTTCACGGTCGCTGGGAAACGACCATCGTGACCTAATAGAGTCTGGTACCAGTACAGCTGCCAATCAGACTTTTGGTTACATGGCGGCAGCTACAGATTCGGAAGAAGACCCGGAGGAGAACATACCCAATGGAGTTAGAAGTCCTTGATAGACCCAGTGATTCCTTTTTGCATCTTTTGACACCAATGTGCATGGTGGGTATATATATCTGCGATGATGAACTGGTACAATGCACAGTGTAATGGTTTTATGTATATATATATGTAAATACTGCGTACGGCCAATATAAAGTATGAATGTAAATAGTTAATATGATTATCTACCACAACACTTCACTCTAAAATTCAACTTCTTCAAGTTAAAGCAGCAACACCCGGTCTCACAATATACAATGCTCTGTTTTAATGTGATCCTTATATTCAGTCTTCTAATATTATCAGGATATGGGGCAACTTCGACGTAGCATATCATCAACCCCTTCAAACTCACGACAACATAAACAAAACATATTTTGCAAATATATAAACCGGGCACCGGCACCGCGCATTGCGCGGTGCTCCAAAACTAGTATATGTATATATATATATATACATAGCTGCAAATCACACACACACACACACAGTCACACGTGGGAAAGATGAATTCGAACAATAATAATAATGGGAAGAGCAGCGGTAATTATAATTATAATAAAGAAAAGAAGGGGGGTGTTATTCGGAAGAAAAGGAAGCAGGTTACAACAATGATTCGTGAGAAAATTGTGGAGATAGTTGTTGATGCCGTCAAGAATCACAACAGCATGGGAAAAGTTAATCCTCGTTAATTACTTCTTCATAATTACTATTATTAATGCCCACATAATTGTTTTCTAATAATTATGTGGGCATTTCATGTCATGTGTATGCATTAATTAATTAATTAGCCATTTGTACTTATAAGATTTGGTCTTTTGTTATCACGCATCGGTCGTTTTCTTATATATGTAAGCAAAGGAGATAATAATGTTTAATATATTTTGTGTGAAATAATTCTTTGTTACAAAAGTTGATCAATTGACACAAATGATGGTATATATATATAATTGGTGGAAAGGGTAACCATAAAGAAGAACATTCAATGAAGTCGAGGTTTCAATATTTTTCTTGGTCCTCGTGATTTTCTTACCAAGTTGCCAAGGAAAAATCAAGAAAATATATTTAACTTCATTCTTTTTCGCTCTCTTCTTTTTGAAGATACTAGATAGGTGCACGTGTGTTGCACGTGTCGTATGAATTTTGTACTCCCTCCTTCCCTCAATATTTGACGTTTTGGTATAAATTACTTTTTCCAGATTATTTGACGTTCTCTATTTTCAATAGAGAATTCAGTTTTTCTTTCCTGTTTTACCCTTAGCATTAATTATTGCAACTCCTAATATTTCCAGTCAATTTATCTTTGTTCAATAAGCATTCAATGTAAAGGTAATTATTGAAAGGAAATTAAGAAGTCACAACTCACAAATAACAATCAATCTGACGACAAAACAAAAAACGTGAAGAGGCAAAAATGAAGAGTGAACCTTTTGTAGATGGTGAAAAAAGAGTTGAAAAATTTATGAATGTTGAAGATTCTATGAATTCAGATATAGAACCTTTGTTGGAAGTATTTTCATACAAGAAACCTTTAAGAGATTTTGACTTGAATGTGGTGGGAGATTGTGGATTTGATTCGAACAAATTTCCTGATGAAGGAGGAGAATCTTTTGAGGATGAAGAAATTAATAAAATAGTGAGAATAATGCTGAAAATTTATCTACCAAATTTTTATTAAAGTGTGATTAGTCAATCACACTTAACATGTCATTTCGTGAAGAAGAGGGAGGAGGAAATGCTGCATGTTCACTTCCTTTTATATTTTGTTGTTGTGCATGGTATTTATCATAATTTAATATTTTAATAATATTGGAGCATTTACTGGGGCAAGTATATCAGATTCTATTTTATCTTTTAATTTGTACATTTATCTCTCATTTATTTTTTTTCTTTCTCCATTTCTTATAAATATTTTAAAAACCCATCTGCACACTCATGGATTAAGAAGAATAGTTTTACACAATACTATTAATCACCATCAGAAAATAAATATATTACACAGTACTGTTAAAACACATATTATTGTAATCACCATCGAGAATAAACATTTAACCTATATACCTAAGAACATCTTGAACTAACGCAAGATCGCATTTCATTCGAGTAGGAAGCCGCCCCTCTCTTTCTAACATTGCTTTTTTAATATGCGGCGTCTTGTACTTTTGAGAACCTCTTACTCGCATAATCTCTATCCTGCACAATTGCAATGTAATAAATATACGATTGGACTTGATTGCCGGAAAAGTTTCAAATGCGTGCACAACTGCATTGACAAGCCGATCGACCGTTTTAGGCGACTCCTTGTATTGTGTTGATTGAATAGCTCTAAAAAATCCAAGGTCTAGAACATTCAAATCTGGAGAGTTTGGAGGTTGACGCATCAAACGAATATCAAAACCATCTCGTGTTGCAGCTAGACGAAACTCCTCATCATTATGATCAATATGTGTTCTTGCATTGTCTTGTTGAATAAATATTGGACATCTTGAATCACCTCTTGGCCATTTTTGCTTGATTGCAGGTATGACCTTTTCAATAAAGTATGACCTTATAACGTTTTTATTCACTGAAGATATTGGCTTTGTCTCGAGTGTACCGGCAACTCTATTTATACTAGTTCTTTTAGCAGCCTCTTGCGTAACAAGTGGGAATACACCAATTTTTCCAGAGAAAAGCTCATTTCCTTGTTCATCAAACGTCCTTGGTCGAGCAATAGCAACTAAAAACATGACATTTGCAATGAAATTCTTACTTTTACAAGTGCGCAACGGATCTTCTTCGTCGGGTAATAAGTAGTAATGCTCTGATTTCTTTGTCATGTTGAACCACTTCTCGTCGATATGAACAATGTTATACATCCCGTTGAAAATTGGATCATGTTGAATGCTAGCGCTATCAAGCATAGACAAACAAAATTTCAATCGAGATATTTTATTTTCCTTCATTTAAAAATGGCTTTATAGAATTTGAATGGCGGCGTATTTCTCTTGATTGTAGACACCTTAACAATGTGCTCTTCGACGTGTTTAAGGAGTGAGCAAAAGACTGCAATGTTGTGCGTTTATGTAAAGGGACCGCTCGGATTTGATCATCGCTTATTTGTATTCTCTTGCGACCACAATTTTTTGTCCTTCTATGAGATACATCATCACACGTACCATTATTTGATTGCCACCAAATGTGTTGAATAGCTTGTATCGAAACATCGAATTGTGTTGCCACCATTTTTGTCGCCACTTTCGGCAATTTTCCGTTAAAACTTTTCTGTTGTAGCAAATTATATACGTCCCGACGCTCATTATTGTGTAACTGTTTTACGTTTCGTGACTGTAACGATGCTCCATTAGCATTCCCAGTATTTATGTTTTCATCTATTTATAGAATTGCAAATAAAGAAAAATAGAAAAGGCATGAGGACATGACACATAAGTTTCGTAAGACATATTGATAAAATAAAATAAAAATACCTGTAGTGAACTCATCTTCCAAGGATGATTGTAGTCCCATATCCAATGGTATATCATTTTCAACAGATGGAGTAACATTTAGGTCTAAAATTGGAGAATGTAGATTGATATTTACATCATCTACAAATTCTAAAGCAACCAAATTTAAATCTGGCAGACTCATTGATTCGTGCTCTTGTCTTTCACTCTCATTACTTATATGAAAAAGTGATACCTCTGTATTTAGATCTATTTCGATTAAAGGTTCTCCCATTTTTTTAATCATAGAAATTAAAGAAAATCCTTAAGTTTTATAGAACAATTTTGGTGGAAAATACATCTATTTGGTTTGCTTGAAATTTTAAATTCTATTTTATGGAGGGTGATTGAAAATTTCAAATTTGATTTCTAGATGTGATTGCAATTTGAGTTTTAAAATTATGTTCATCTTCATCATGGGTTTAGTAATGTAATGGAATAAATAATGTGTTAATTGAATTTTAATTTTCGTTGATATTAAAAGATTATAGATACACGTAAGAAAATAGAGAAAATGATGGGAATAAGTTTTACACGGTTAATGAGTCAATAAGAAAATTAATAGCTGATTATGAAAAGAGAGAACTAGATAAAAGGGCAGTTTCGGTTTTTCTTATCAAATTAATGACTAGTTAATGGAATTCTTAATCCATGTGCAACTAACTTAAACGTCAAATATTGGGGGAAAGAGGGAGTATTTCTTATGTATCGTGCTTACTCTATTTTATCAAAATAATATCATTAAATTTATGGAATGTAAAAGTATCTTGTTACATTGTTATTTTTTGTTAATACAATATACATAGAATCTAATTTTATTAAATTTAATAATAAAATACTTAATTATATTCATATTTTGTTTGCTGAATAATTAACCCTTATTTGTATTTGAGTTTTGTTAATAATAAATTTATTTAGCCTTTAGTTTTTGACCGCGGTAACCAAAGTTTGCAACTGAGATAGAAGGAAAACTGGAACCAAAACTTGTTGGGTACTCGTTCGAAACAGTAATAACTCCTAACATGGAGTTGTATTTGCACATCAACGGCTCAATCCACAATTATCCAATTGACGTCAATAAATTCAGTTGACAGTGACTCCAATTTGTGTCAAGCACTTAGCGTGAAACTTAATTCACCACACTCAACCCATAAAGTGATATAACCATCGAACCAACCCAAAAACTCGAGATCTGACTCACCAGCTGTTAAGTGTATATTTATACACTTAATTGTACCTTTTAATTGGAGCTTTTGATGTGTTTTTACGATAATTGGTGCTTAAAATGGTTGTTATTTGTATTTTAGGTGCAAATTGAAGAATTGGCAACTTTTGGGGTGAAAACTGCAAATTCAGAGAAAAAGTGGGCCAAAAGTGAAATAATCAGAATTCTGAAGAACAGAAGGCCGCGCGGCCGTGCGGGTTTTAGAGCTTAATCTCACACGGCCGTCCGGATGGGCGTAGGGGCGCAGTGAAGGAAGTTTAATTACACAAGGAAACCCGCCCTATTATATTTTTGCACCCTATTTAAAGGCCACAAGCACACAATTAGACCTATCTTTTTTTACCTTTTATCGTTATTATTAGTTTTTAGTTTTTTTATCTTTTCTACACGCAATCAAGGAGCAAGAGAACGAAGACGAAGACTTGACGACTCTTCATCCTAGTTTTCCTTTTTCCTTTTCTTTTCTGATTTTTATGAATTTTCGTATTTTTATTATGTTTTTCGTAACGAACATGAGTAGCTAAGTTTTTATTCTAGGATTTTATTGGAACCCTATGTGGTAACTCGAACCTATTTTTCTACTTTTATGCAAGTTTAATTCTTCGATTATTTCTTCTATCTTGATCGTATTTAGTGCATGAGCGTAGCTAACTTATGTTGCTATTTGTTATTGTTAGAATTGATTGACAGATCGTTTTAATAATTAGAACAGGGATAGAAGAGCCTTCGAGTAGTTTTTCACCGAATGCGTGTGTTGATTGCATGTATTATCGTAGACATACAGATAATACCTTAGGTAGCCGTTTGCGAGACTTGTTATTTAATGCTTTATTTATACTAGGTTTGCATAGACATATAGTGAATCTTTTATGAATAATAGGTTTATAGCGCAGCGACAGCTGGTTATGAATAATTTCGTGTCTTGGGTTAATAATCGGGAATCGTAACTTGCATGATAGGAAATTAATTGGGTGAAGAATTATCGCATAGGGGGAAGATAAAATCCTAGATCCGTTTATTATTGATTTTCTTTCTCGTGATTACTTGCGTTCTTAATTAGTTTAATTTATTTAGTTAATTAATTTGACAACCCTGCGTAGGCTGGATAAAAATCGTAATTGTTAAAATTTGGTACTTGGGATTAAATAATTTGCGTATTCCCTGTGGGATCGACATCCGACTCTCACGAGTCCACTTTACTACTTTTTTGCGATACGTGCACTTGCGTGTGGGTATTTAGCACCCAACACCAGCCCAATCTTAAAAAAAATCTCTCGAACACACTCAGAACTCTCGTTTTACCTATCACCAAGACTGTATCTCTCACTCACAGAAAATGAAGACAAAAAAATGAAGAAAAAGCATGAATTTGTATGTTACTCTCTCTCCGTCTTTACACCAAACATTTTTACCCTAAGATACAACGGTCATCGGCGGATAAACCGTCTTAGAGTCAAATTCTACAATAGTTGGTGGTGTTTGACTCTAAAATCGCCTGAAAAAGACAAGAAGAGAGAAAGCAGAAGGACGGATGGTGCATGGAGAAGAATTACAGAGCAGCTGAAGTCAAATTATGTATAGGGTAAATTATTTAAGGGGCGTGAGGGACGGACAAGATTGACTTCTCAATATGGACGGTGAAAATGGAAGCCCAGAAGCTTCTTCATAAACCGGGATTTAGTGAATGTGTGGGTCAACACCAGTAATGACACCGATTTTTACCACCGCCACTGTTGACCGCTTTTGATTTTTTTTTTTTAAATCGGCGTTGACTTTTTTTTTGAATAATTTTTTTTGTTGTCGTTCATTGACAATGAATTGCCGATTTACAACGTTCACTTTTTTTTTCTTGATTTTGTTTACTTTTTTCGTTGATTTTTTTTTTTCCCGATCAACACTGTATTATAATTGTGTTACACAATAATACTAGCTACTATATTAATATCTAGCACCATAATATTAAAATTTTAAACTTCTGACAAAGTTTTAATCCAAAAGTTTTGGACCAAAATAAATTTAAAAAATTCTTACAAATCCCTAATTTCTTCCTCTCAATTTTTTCTTCTTGAAACCGCCTACGCATGAATTCTTACAAACACCGGCCTTTGATATTTTTTTCTTGTTAAATTTGTCCTCGTCGTTGAGTGATATTTTTTTTCTTCTTAAATTTGTTCTCGTCGTTGAGTGGCGTTGATATTTCCCTTTTTCTTTTTTTTTGACTTTTTTTTATGATATTATTTTTCCCGTTGGTTATTGGTTTGACTATATTATATTTTTTCCGCTACTCCATTTTCAATAAAAAAAAAAAAAAAGTCAACGCAATTAACATGACATTTACATCGGTTAATGGCAGCAAAAAAGAAAACCAATCGAAAATAAGTAAACCTAGTTAAAGATAAAGTCAACATCGGAAAAAAAGTTTTTTCCAAAAAAAAATCAACGGAGGTAAAAATCGGTCCATTGGTGAAGTTGGGGTTAAATTAGGGTGGATGGAATTTTAGGGATTTTTAGAAAGTTTTAAAATAATACAGGGTCTTGTTGCAATTTCCTTACACAAAATTCCCAAATTCAACCTTGTCAACCGTCGACCGTTGCTTCTTGACGGTCAAACAGACGGAGGGACCTGGTTAAAATTGGCTAATTGGTGAGATTGAGGTTTGATGAAATTTTAGGGATTTTTAGAAAGTCTTAAAATAATACATGGATCTTTTGCAATTTCCTCACGGTAAAATCACAAATTCAGCTATAATTCAACCGTTGATTGTTGCTTCCTAACGATCAAACATGCGGAGGGAACTAATGTGTAAACATTTGATAAAATTAGAGTATATTTTGTTGACGACGGTAAATAGGGGATCAAAAGTGAAAAAACGTGTAAACTTGGGCGACCAAAGCTATAATTATCCCCTTTGTAACCGATGGATTACCCATCCTCGTTCTTGAAAATCCCATCAGATCCATTAATACATCCAAAAAAAAGAAACAAATTGAAATACGTGAAACTCCATCTTCTATTATGAAACTTTTGATATAAATTACATGACTTTTTCCATATAAAAGGAAGTGGACGAAACATATGAAAGGTCATGTAGGTAAAAAAAATGTTTTGCCATGCACATTAAATTATCATATTTAAACTTGACATATTCTCTACTAATTATATATGATTATGTATGAATTAATTATTCTCAACTTATATTACTTACTTGTCCTTCAAATCATACTTATTCAAAGGATATTTTAGTCAATATAAAAAAATGAAAGAAACCATCTAAGATTCATAACCACCTAAAATTCATACTTTTATTAGTATAGATATTGCGGAAAGAAAAAAAAAACTTATTTCGTTCATCATCCCTATTTAGTTCTTATTTTGTAGAAGTTGGAGTGTTATTTCATATATATATATATATATATATATATATATATATATATATATATATATATATATATATATAAATTGATATGTTACTCTGGATTGGGGTCTATTTGGTAATTCATGAAAGTTTAGTTTTGACAAACTAAATATTTTTCCATTTTATTTATGTATAGATATAGATCTTACAGTTACAATTAATTTATTATGAATTGATCTAGGAGAATTATATGATAATTCATTAAATATAACAACTATTAAATAAATTACTAGTCGATGAGTTACGCCAATAAATTCCTAGCATGTAGTCTATGTGAGTTGAATCTGATCAGCTACGATTTAGAGACATTGACATACTTAAGTCAATGCTCATAGTCGATGAGTTCACTGAACTCCCTCATCCTAGAATTTCTAAGTGATTTTCAGTGACCTAGTATTGTTCTAAGGTTATAACTGTACACCATTAGTCCTTAGGGCCTAATAAATCAGTGCGACTTTATTAAAGGACGTCCAACTATGTTGTGACATGTCCTTGAGTCTTACTGGAGATCGCTTAAATGGCCAATGCTCGCATAGTCTGAAATCTAGTGGGAGTCTGTGTATTGTAGTTAGGGATGAGTGCTTGGTTAATTGC